CAGCTCCAGGTTGAGCTGTTATTCAGCATCTTAGCTGTGGAGGGCAGTGTCACTGGCCCTCATATGTGGGATCCGAACCGGGGCCCTCTGGCAAGCCAGTTCTTAACAATCACGCCACTTGGCCAGCCCTGCATTGCTCTTTTTATATGTAGCTGAATTCAATTTGGAAATCTTTATGTATTACAGTTATTGACATCTTGAATTGACCTTTTATGTAGACAGGCAACATGTTGGGGTGAATATTTTTCTCCCACTTATTTCTCAGGTCCTGCATCTCACGTATTGTTGCACCTGTGCTTTGTATTGTTTGCAAGGAGATTTGAGCTTTTACTCAGAGGGCGTGTGCTTGTGCCACAGGCTTCAGGGGGCCGAGTTAGGGCTCTGGTGCGACTTCTTTGGCACGCTGCAGAGGGAGAGCATTAAGGCTGCAGAGGGTGGTGGGTTGGACTCAGGTTTTCTCTTCCTACCCCATCACACCTGCCCAGACACCTTCAATTCTCTTTCCTTTCCCTTAGCCTCATCTCCCGTCTTCATCAAGGCAGCTCTCCTCTGTGGAGCTCACTGGGACTGGGCACTGCGTGCCAGGAGGGCAATGTGGGCAGGACCACACCACTCAAGGGCTGTGTCCTGGGGTCCAGACACACCACCAAGGTAGCCGGTGACTCTGGTCACCTGTTAACATCTCCCTGTCTTCTCTTGAGTGAAAAGTGGAGATAAAGATATGGCCCACCTCGTGAATTATATGCCATTCTTCTAAGGGATGTGACCGAGGCATAGTTAATGATGTGAAAATGCAATCACAGTGCAGTGCTGATAGAGCAAAACAGGGTGAAGTATGACATCATGTCTTTCAAGTTACACATACATGTATATACATGTGTGTGTGCATATTATGTGTATATATACCGGGGGTGCCAAAAAAATGCATACAAGTGGGCACTATGATCAACGTTGCTCAAGCAGTAGTTCACCATAATCAAAAGTGTCTGGACGCTGATGGGAACCACTTCGAGCACCTCTTGTAATTGCAGAAGTCAAACATGACTTGTATTCATGTTTTGTTATCAGTATATATTGACTATTACAATTTTAATACAGTTTTTTTTTTCTTAAAATGTGTATACATTTTTGGGGGCACCCTCTGTATATATACATGTGTGTTATATACGTGTACACATAACATAAAGAACACTGACTGTTTTCTGCTGGCTTTTCTATATTTGAAATTTTCTATAATAAAATCCTGTACTTTTGTGTTAAGAAAAATAAACCTCTCAGTTGTTTTTGAGAGAAAACTATGATGTTCGTTATAGCATTGTACAAAATAGTTATCCGTTGGAAAATCCCTGAACTTCCAGTAATAGAGGAATGGTACGTTATAAGGTATTATGATTGCTACACTGAAATGTTAATTATTAGTTTCTTAAATTTTACTTTGCCTAATATTTTTATTTTATTTTAGGCAAACTTTGGAGTCGGAGTTTAAAACTAGCTTATACTCTGGTTAATAAACTGACAAGTAAGAATGAACCGCTACTTAAACCTGGAGACAGAGTAAGTAACTAGAATGTAACTTTATGGGAGTGGGAAAAAAACAGAGCCTCTAAAAATGTTTCATTGAAATCAGTGTTCTATCAGCTGCTTAGAGATGCAGTGTTAATGCAGGGAATTTAAAGTCAGCATGAAAATATATTAAATATGGGAAAAGTTTGTGATGATGTAGATAAAATGGTGGTTCTTTTTATTCTTCCCCATTGCCTATCCACTGATTCTTTAACTTCTTTTCTCTTTGACTTCACATGTGTTGATTTTAATAAAAATATTAATATCAGATTTTAATAAATGTTAAATGTCCAAAACTTAAGTTTTATGAGGACACATCAACCTTCCTATGCGTCTCCTTCCCTGGCTCCGCGTGGCCAGGCAGCCCACTTCCCACCTGCCCAGACAGAATGCAGAGGCCGGAGGCTTCGTGCCTTGTCCTGCTCTGCCCCAAATAGTTGGCAGTGGCTAACGAGGCTATTTAAACTAACCAAAATTAAATACAATGAAAAATTTAGTTCCTTCTCACATGAGCCACATTTCTGGAGCTAATGGCTACCATGTTGGCTAGCTCGGAAAGAGAAGTTTCAGTCCTTGTGGAAGGTTCTGTGGGGCAGCATTGCTGTGGGCAAGCTGAAGCCGACTTGAGGAACCAGGTACATCAGATGGTCCCAAAGGACAGCAGGAGGACATGGCGGAAGTCAGCACACTTACCAGGGAAACCCCCAGGGCACGGTTGCCTAGGTCAGGTTGCCCAACGATGAAGCCATAGGTGACGAGACGATAGTTTCAGGCAACCCTTTGAGTGCTTCACTTGTTAGTATAGACCAGAGGGAAACCTCAGTGTGACAGAAGGGACCAGAGGACAAAGAAGTAAAAAAAGGAAGGAGTGCAGGGGTGGGAGGAAGAGGAAACAGACAGACTTGGGGGAAAACTAGATACAGAACTAAAACTTGGAGAAAATTAGTATTAATATTCCTAGAGCTCTATGCTGAAGACAATGCACCATAAATTAAGTAGAATATGCTGGTAGGAAAGACCAATAAATGGATGGTCGGAAGGAAAAAAAGTGCAAAAATTAGACTTGATCAGGAATGCCCAGCAGCATTTGACTAACAGGAGTTCCAGAAAGAGAAAGGAGAACAGAGAGTAGAAAATTTTACGTGACAAGAGTAATACAAGATGACATCCAGCAGGTGGACAGCATAAGCCTCAGGGTGGCAGGACCTGCAGTGAGCAGTGTCGCCACACAGAACCCGTGACCATGTTACGGCGTGAGACCCAGGGTGCAGAGGGAGCCGCAGAGCTTCTGGAAAGCAGTCAGACAGAGGAGACAGCGAGCGAGCTTCTTCAGGAGTTCAGAGGAAGTCCGACTTAAGCTACACTTCTCTGCCCAGAGTCACAGATGCGAGGTTGGGGTCACCATGCTCAGATGCGTAGGACCCCCAAGCACTCTTTTTTGGGAAATTCCTAGAAGGTGTGCTTCAGCTGATTGTGGTGGGGCCCAAACAGGAGAGCCCCAGGGTGGTGACCGGTGACCGCTAGCCCCCCAGCCAGGACCAGATAGCACCCTGGGTGGGGGTGGGGTGGTCAGCCGCTGGTGAAACTTCTGAGTTCCCTTGGCTGGTTCCTTGGAAGATACTGTTGATAGGCACTTGACGCACGCAGGGGACATTTCAGAGCACGTTGGTGGTGCAGCCACAGGAAGCATTGCCAGCGGGAATGCTGGTAACTGTGACGTCAGAAAGAGGAGACACGTCCCTGCCCATGAGCGTGAGAACAGTACAAGAATGCCGCTGTCAAGGCATGTCGTGCTTTAGAACAGGCCTGTAAGAACCCCTAACTCATGCTGTGCTTTAGAGTGAATCTAAGAATCATTGATTTATCTTCCTTGAAAAAACCCTCACAAGGACAAAGACTTTCAGACACTTTGAGAGAATTTAAGTTAATTATAAAAAGAGGGACCGAGGTCCAGCCGAGTGGCTCAGTTGGTTAAGAGCTAGCTTCAGAGCCAGAGCTCTGAGCAACAGGGCCGCTGGTTCAATTCCCACATGGGCCAGTGACACTGTGCCCAAGCTGAGCTGCTGCTGAGCTGCCAACAGGTGGCAGGATGGCTCAGCTGGTGAGAGTACGTGCTCCTAACAACAAAGTTGTCTGTTCAAGATGGTGGGCTATGCCCTCCCACAACTAAGACTGAACTCTGCACCTTGAGCTGAGCTGCCGCCCGGATGGCTCAGTGGCTAGAGCGTGCAGTCTTAGCAACATGGCTGCCGGTTCATCTCCCGCATGGGATGGTGGCTACGCCCACCCACAATTAAGACTGAACACAGCACCTTGAGCTTAGAGGCCACGAGCTGCCGACGGGGAGCCAGATGGCGACTGGCGCCCTCCACAACAGAGATTGAAGAACAACAATTTGGCTGGTCCCCCTCGGCAATTCCCCAACACTGTTCCCCTTCCCCAATTCCCCAATTAAAATAATAATATAAAATAAATAAAATTAAATTAAAAAAAGATGGACCAGGCCACAGTGAGTGAGTTTATTATCAGAGATGGTGACACGTTCCTCCTCCCGTGATAATATACTTTGTAAAAGCGAACAAACACAACTCTTTTATAACATTCTCTAAAAACATTTTCTGCACCAAACTCCTAGTCTCAAGGCTGTATGTAGTTCTTGTTCTGGGACCATCACTATGAATAACAACTTTTGAAGGAGAGCTTTGCCCTTTCCAACAAACAAACTTGTTAGAAACTTAATTAAGTTGACTGCACAAATATAGAGATAGCTTAAATTCTGTCTTAGGACTGGAAGGTTATTCATTATCCATTGTTTTGTGGTCCGAGCCCTGTGTTAACAGGCTGCTCCAGTAGTGTTCTCACTCCCCACCGTGGTTCAAGCACACTCACTACACTCTTTGGGGCCTACAAAAATCTTATTCCATAAATAGCTTTTAATTTAACTAGATTGAATGAGAAATGGAAGTGAAGATGATGAGAGAAGAGAAAGGGATGGATAAAGAGAGCTAAACGTTCATCTACAATGATAGGAAATAAAATTGGTGCCTAAATATTTTCAAAAAATAAAACATAGTATAAGCATACTATTTAAAAATGTGAGTAAATAGCAAAAGGAAGATGTAAAATATTTTAAAAGTTGTTGCCTTGGGGAGGGGAAGGGTGGAACGGGGGGGGTGGTATTGTTTTTCATTAGTACTTTTTGTCATTTTAAATTCTGTGTTTTAAAAAAAATTGATGAAAACAAAAATGGAAGCTATCTGACACAGAACATATATTTAAACAGCGGCAGTGTAGTGGGCAGGGGGACCCAGCTGAGGTGTTTGTGTCACCGCTTCCTATTAAGGCTTGAGTTAAGATCTATTCAACTAAAAGTTGGTGTTAAGATTTTTTCTCTTGGAAGCTATTTTATTTTTTATTTTTTTCATTTAAGTAAAAGTATAATTGAGCATCTACTATCAGATATAAGCAAATATAAAACTTGAGTTACATGAACTGTATTTGGCTATGAAGCCTGAGTCTCACCATATAGCAAGTGATTGATTCTAACCCAATCAGTTAAATTCAATCCACCCTAGTAATATTTTTTTTTATTAGTTTCAGGTATACAGAACAATGCAATAGTTATCCTTTTCACCCTTCACAAAGTAACAACCCCCACCCCCATCTACTGCCCTCCCACTCCCAATATCATACTTATCTATTACAATTCTGGAAACTATTTTAGATATAATTTGATTCCTCGTTCACTTTTCATGTCGTGTAGGTGTTTTTCATCTGGACTTATGGGTGGTGGGTGACGGTCCCTCGCTTCCATCCCTGAGTTGCTGCTGCCCAGATGGTCAGAGTGAACGGGAGCTGGGTCCTGACCCCACCGCCAGACCTGAGTTGGATGGCCTTTAAACCCAGAAACTTAAAATTATTTTGTTGTACGTGGAGCAAAGACCTCAACCTAAAAACCGTCTATTAAAAGTTACATGGCAGAGGAAATTTAAGACCCAAGAATTAGCCCCCAAATTACATTTTCTGAACTACATTTGAAAAACCGTAAGATAATCTCAGAAGCCTCAATCCCACCCCAACCAAGCAGACACTGTGCAAATTGAGATGCCGAGTGGTTCACAGGCAGAGTTCATGTTTTTCTCTGTGCTGCTGTAGGTGGCGCTGGTGTTTCCAAATAGTGACCCTGTGATGTTCATGGTTGCGTTTTATGGGTGTCTCCTGGCAGAGCTGGTTCCTGTCCCCATAGAAGTGCCGCTGACAAGAAAGGTAGCAGACTGGGTCCGGGGGGCGGGGGAGCAGACCCCATGAGGTGTGATGCCCAAGCTGACACAGGAGTTGGGTGTGTGCTGCTGCTCCTCCAGCCCGGGGAGCAGTCAGCGGCCGCACTGTGTCCGCAGATCCTCCCTGTGTACCTTGTTGTTGAGAACAGCTGGAGCTACTTACTGTGTCCCCTGTGAAACGATGAGCGCGTTTTCCTCTGAGTAGCTTTGGGGTTTCATAAGTTTTGTTAAACTTCTTCTCGAAACCGTATGCTCACTGATAATAACTTCATTTCTTGGGGATACATAACGCGTTACAGTGACATATCACAGCTCACTTCTGTCTGGTCCCACACATCTGTTACTGACAGATTACTGTGACATTCTAGGGGGCTGTTACGTGTTACACATACATGTCAGTAATCTGACTACTGAAAAAAATCCTATTAGAGGTAGACAAGGCATGTATTTTAGAAAATCAGTTTTCTATCTGTATCCCAGTGTTCAGGTAGCTGTTCATGTGAGGATTGTCAGCAACAGATGGAATCTCAAAAGTAAAGTTTGCAAATAAAACCTGTACATCTCAACAGATAATATATGATGACAAGTATTTGAATACATGTATTGTTAGGGAAAAAAAAATAGGGATTTGTCAAACTTACAAAAAGAAAATGATATAACTTTACTGAGGGACATGTATTAAAGAGGACCAACAGGCAATGTGCATTTTTATGTGAAAATAGTTACTGCTGTTAAACGTCAGCCACCCCCCAACCATCAATCTGTAAATTTCAGACACAAATCAAGTGGAAATTTAAATGGTACTATTTTTGGAGATTATTAAAATGCTGCTAAATCATTTGCGAGGAAAAATCTTTGAGAAAGTAACCCATTATCTGAACTTTATATTTTACTGCAAAAGTATATCTTTTAAATTTAAAAACAATTACATTTTACTGTCATGAAAATGTGGTGTATAGGATTGAATTGTTGCAGAAGGATGAAAAGGGTCAAAAAGGCACTCTGCGTTCTGCGCATGGGCCTGAGCAGTAAAGCGACCGGGCGCGTCACCACCTCCTGTCTCCTGCAGGACGCTGGCAGCCAGCAGGTTGGGTTTCTGCTGGGCAGCTGTGGCGTCACCCTGGCCCTGACCACGGACGCTTGTCAGAAAGGCCTGCCTAAGGCGCAGACCGGAGAGGTGGCGACTTTCAAAGGTGGGTCCCCAAGGCCAAGGCAGGCGGTGTCCTCTGGTCCTTCCCCAGCGGTAAACCTCAGATGCTCCGGGCCTCCAGCAGCAGGCAAATTGGAGGCCTTGGTGAGTCTTGCTTCTCACCAAGTTCAGGGTCGTGGCTTGTGCCGTCCACTCGTGAGAGTGAGACGAGCCCGAGACTTCACTCCCTCACGCACTAGGGCTGTGTGTTGGACAGTAGGTCCTGAGTGTGGGGAGCAGAGACCTTGACCATTCGCCTATGCCGTGTCCCTTGTCTGCACCCTCACAGGTTGGCCTCCCCTTGCCTGGCTGGTGATTGATGGGAAACATCTGACTAAGCCCCCAAAGGACTGGCACCCGGTGGCCCAGGAGGCCGGGGCGGGCACCGCCTACATCGAGGTAACGCAGAGCGCTCAAGCAGCCCGGGTTAGGTCTCGGCACACGGTGAGAGCCGCTGGGTGGGTTTATACTCCAGCCCGAAACTCCTTACGTTCTGGCTTCATCCCAGAAATATAAAGTGTCACATGGAGATATCCTCAGAGGCAGTCAGGTTGCACTCTTACCTGATCCCCGCCGGCTACCCTGGGTGCGGGCAGTCAGGAGGGGGCCTCCGTGCACCACTGCCTTCAGCGCCTGCCCCTTCATCCGAGCGGTCCCCAAGGGTCAGGCAAGAACTGTGCTCTGGCCAGATGGGGTGGTTCCTGGAGGGGACGTGGCCGACAGCTTCTTTTCTCTCAAATCCATCAGCCTCCAGAAACATCACCTAACGGACCTGTTTTCTTGAAACCTTTCAGTATAAGACCAGCAAAGAAGGAAGCACGGTGGGGGTGACAGTGTCGCACGCATCCCTCCTGACTCAGTGCCGGGCTCTGACCCAGGCGTGTGGCTACTCAGAAGGTAAGGCGTGCCTGGGACCTGCCCTGAATCCAGGTCTTTCCGCGTGCCGGCCGCCCGGGGGCATCAGGTCCCCAGGCAGCCCCACTCAGCCCTTCTCAGTAAATTCCCGTGTAGACTACAGAGCATGGAGTCCACGTGCCACCAGTTTCCTGGTGCCCAGGGGCTGCTTCAGCCAGAGGCAGAGCTGAGGGGCAGTGTGTTTTGCATTAAAAACACGGAAAACCGTCTCATTGGACACACTACTGTTGCTGTTATACGTGCCTGTGGTTTTGGCTCACGCTGTCACGCATGCAAACACACAAATGGAATCTTTATGGCCATAGCTTATCTGTTGGTAGCCCCTTCACTGTTAAATATCAGATATTCAACTTAGGTAAATACTATTCAAAAAACTATAAAAAGGATACATCGCGGTGTTCTTGGCATTACAATACTTGAACAAAACTAAAAATTAAATCGAATGGTGTGTTTAAATATCGGAGATGCAGGTATTTATATGCAAGGGGTAGCGGGGTACAGCCGAAGACTTCGGTGGAGGTTTGGGAAAGGGTTTTAGTTATGCTTAAGGGCCTGGATAATTTCATTAAAATTACATCTGTCAAGTGAAGTCCCCTGGTTTTCTCCTCCTTCAGATCAGGGTAAGCTTACGTATGTTCCCCTGTACTCGGGGCTTCTTCACTGGTCAGGGAGGCTGTGGGCAGCGTGCTTGTTCCGAGTGCAGCAGCGTTTCCTGGCACACAAACCCAATGTCTGCTGTTCGCCATGGCGTTTCTTCTGTGGCCACACTCGGACTCGCCGTGGCCTTTGTGAGGGACCAGATTTGCTCATGGCCCAGGCTGTGTCCCCTGCCCAGTGTGAGCCCTGGAGCCAGGTCCCACAGAGGACGGGGCTGGACACTCTGAGTGCAGTGCTGTGCAGGGGGCCCCGGGACTGCCGTCCGCTCACTCCCTCACATCCTCCAGTCACACCTTCCGGACGAGAAAGTGGGCCGGAGAGCCATTTCTGAAGGGAGATGGATGACACAGCAGCACATGACGTTTCCCGAAGGTGCAGGATAACAGCCTTGAGCATGAGAAATGGGGGGCCTGGATGTAAAGTTGAGAAGTAAGGGTGCCCGTGACAGTGGTCATGCCGTCTGACACATGTGACCGCTTCACACAGCATCTTAACCATAGGCTGTTCCTTGTGTTTCCAGGTTGGTGGTCAGCATAGTTCTCCGTTGTAATGCAAACTATATGACCTTCTCCTTTTATGTTTTCCGGTAATTTGAATCGATAACCATGATCATTGATTAGTTAATTAGTGCATGGTATTTGCAATGCTGTCCACTCCCCAAACTTACATGTTGATGCCTTACTCACCTCAGTTTCTCTCAAGGTGCACGTAACTTGTACAGAGGCTCACTCAGCAGGTTTAACCATCTGTGTCCACTTTCAGCTGAAACATTAACAAATGTGCTGGACTTCAAAAGGGATGCTGGTCTGTGGCATGGAGTGTTAACAGTGAGTGTTCCCAGTGAGTGTTCCCAGTGAGTGTTCCCAGTGAGCATTCCCAGTGTTTCCAGGAGCGTTCCCAGTGAGCGTTCCCAGTGTTCCCAGTGAGTGTTCCCAGTGAGTGTTCCCAGTGTTCCCAGTGAGTGTTACCTGTTACCAGTGAGTGTTCCCAGTGTTGACAGCGAGTGTTGAGTGTTATCAGTGAGTGTCAACAATGTGACCAATGAGTGGTAACAGTGGGTGCTAACAATGAGTGTCGTATGCTGATGTTTCAGTGATGTGATCCCTAGGACCCCTTAGTCATCTGATGCCCGTGCGCAATGTTGGGCAGAAGTGTGTATGAGGACAGCACTGGTCCCTTGGCCGCTCGTGGCGGGGGTCAGTGCTGTGCTGTCCGCATGCAGAACAGCGTTCCCCTGAGCGTGTGTGTCTTCCTCAGAGCGTCCTGAATAGGATGCATGTGGTCAGCATCCCGTATGCACTGATGAAGGTGAACCCACTGTCCTGGATCCAGAAGGTGTGCTCCTATAAAGGTGAGGGGGGCGCCATTGCCCCATCATCCTCCATTCCGGAGGCTCTTGGGGTTAGTCTCCGGTGATCAAGGAAAACAGCCAACAGGCAGAGCTACAGACGTGGGCCAAGGCGTCCGTCAGCCAGGTCTCAGACACACCCTGACGCCGTGCTGGCTGCAGGCTGTCGTGTAGCCCCCGCCTGTGTGTGCAAGGCCTGGCAGCCTGGGATTGGAACTGTTCACTGACAGCTCTCTTCTGCTAGGACCACAGGCCCTTAATTTTATTCTCAAAATTTCCCTCATAGTCACATCAGTACTCCTGATTCTTAGTATTTGAGGTGGTTTTAATTTGAAGTTAGGGCTTTGCAAGCCACCAACAGCAAAGCGGTTTATTCAGACGAAGCCGGCTGCGAGTGAATGGCCTCCCTGCCCTGCCCTCCACCTCTAGTCGGCCACCCCTGCACAGTCTGGCGTCCCTCCGCTCTGCTCTGGGGCGCTTGAGGGCACCTTCACGACTCCCCGAGGCTGGGCCTAGGGCCTCTCCCCACCCCACCTTGTCCTGGGCACCCGCGTTTATCTTCCCGCCCACACTGGTAGTCGAGGGGGTCACTGGGTGCGGATGAGGGGTGCAGGCTCTGCTCCTGTGTCTTCAGGGCGGCCACGAGGTGGCAGCTGTCTCTGTTTATCCTGTTTGTGAGGAAAACACGCCTGTGGGGTTGGCGGGTGCTGCCCACAAGCATGGCCAGGATCTGGGCTCAGGCCGTCGCCCGCATCCCCCAGGCTTCTGTGGCCACAGCTGCAACGGGCGCAGGCAGCTGGGGGAGGGAGGGCCGAGCAAGGCGGAGCTGAGTCAGAATCGGGGCGGACGTGGTTTGGGTTTTCCGGGTTGCAGCCAGACCTCACCCCTGAGTGGTCGTCACTGGCTGGGGTGGGTCAACCCGGCTGAGAGCTCGCTGCCTGGAGTGTGGGTCCCAGGCTTGGTGCCGCCTTCACGTGTGCCCCTCCCCCGCAGCCCGGGCCGCGCTGGTGAAGTCCCGAGACATGCACTGGTCCCTCCTGGCCCAACGGGGTCAGCGCGACGTCAGCCTCAGCTCGCTGCGCATGCTGATCGTCGCGGATGGCGCGAACCCATGTGAGTAGCCCCCCAGAGCCGCCTACACTCACTGCAGGGTTATGAATATGGGTGGCCCGTGAGTGGCCGTCTGTCACGTGTAACCATTCCTTGGTGACTCATAAGTGTTTTGGCCACTAAATTTGAAAGCGATTTTAACACAGTTGAGAGAAGGCACGTGCCTAAGAGTCATCTTTCTTAAGAAATGCTTCAAGGGCCGGGCGAGTGGCTCAGTTGGTTAAGAGCTCGCTCAAGAGTTTGAGCTCTGAGCAACAGCGGTTCAAGTCCAGCCTGAGCTGAGCAGCCACTGAGCTGCCAACAGGTAGCAGGATGGCTCAGCTAAAAAAAAAAAAGAAATGCCTCAAGTGTGCATGCCGACTGGGCGCCTCCAGCCTTGGCCAGGCCTCCTCGGCTCCCTCTATACCCCACACCCCACTTCCTCTGGCGGGAGTTCCCCAGGCTGAGGCTCCTGATGTGTGGTGTCCTCGTCCTCGGGGAGCCTCAGAGGACCCTCAGGGGACCTTGGGGCCTTTCTGTGACGCATAAAGCCATTGACTAGGTAAGTGGGAGTATCGCTGTTGGCATCAAGACTGCTGTGGACTGGAGGCTGGCCTGTCACCCGATCCCCTGTCCAGTGTGGCCCCAACAACCCTGCGCCCTGCGTACCCCCTACTTGTGAGAGCATCCGACCTCCCGGCACCCAAAACTTGTCATCCCGCTCCACACCAGAGCCCAACAGGGTCCCAACGTCCTGCCTCCCAGAGATGTTGGTGCCGCTCACTCCTCTGCGTCCCCACCCGCGCCCCCAGCCAGGCTGCTTGTCCACTTGCGGTCACTGGCCAGGGCATCACAGGACGCCCCCTGCAGTGCTCTGTTCTGCCTGCACTCCCACAAGCTCCCCGCTCAGGCAGGCTCCCCTGCAGACCTACCTCATCGGTCCTGAAGTGACTGCCAGTCCACATGCCCACCGGTTCCCGGTAGCACTGCTGATCTGGATCGCCTGGTTTGTCCTCGTCTGGACACAGGGCACCTGGGAGCAGGTTCTTCCTTTCCTCGGGCCTCACTGGAGGTTTGCGGTCCAGCCCTGGGGTCCTGTGCAGGCAGCACCCAGCCTCCTGGGAATAGAATTTTCATATCAATGGCACCCCAGACTGGCTGGGGGACATGGGGTACAGGGTGCAGGCCGCCCTGTGGGGAGGCATGGCCAGAGGTTGCTGGGCAGGCCCTTGTAGGAGCAGGGCACTCACAGGACCTGGCCCTTGGATGTGAGAGGCAGGGCTCTTCAGTCACCTCCTCTCTGCAGACCTTGGAGCACATGGGCGAGGCTGTGTGTGACAGGGATGCACGGCTGGCTGCGAGTTAGACCTCAGAAGCAATGCAGGCATTAGAAATAGGCTTTCTGTGAGAAATTTCCAGCTGCTTCTGTTGCTTTGAAAAGGCATGATGTTTTCATGGAAACGGCCCTGCCCCACTCTGCCCGCCATGAGGCTTTGACCTGTGTGCTGTGACAGCATCTTATGTCGCTGCAGTTTAAACGAGAAGCGGCGGGGTCAGCATGAGCAGGCTTGTCAGCCTTGCCTTCCTCTCAGGCCCCACTCTGTGTCACGCAGGGTCCATCTCCTCCTGTGACGCCTTCCTCAACGTCTTCCAGTCCAGAGGCCTGAGGCCGGAGGTCATCTGTCCCTGTGCCAGCTCTCCCGAGGCTCTGACGGTCGCCATCCGCAGGTAGCGTGCCTCCTTGCTGTGTCCTGTGGACGGAACTCTTTCCTGCACTGCTGTGTTCCCCGTGCTGCCAGCTGTGGTGGATTTGCTCCTTGGCGGAGGGGCATCGTGACCAGTGCCACTCCTGTGCCTGTGTCCCAGGCCGTCAGCGTGGTAGTGGGTGGGTGCACCCCACCGTCCACTCCTGCCTGTCACCTCTTGCCTGCCCTGTGGCTCTCGCAGGCAGTGTGCCCACAGTGGAGGGCATTTCCCACTCCCTTAGAACGCGGGTGTCAGCCATGGCCCTGGGGTGTCAGTCACACCTTAGCATCAGGACAGCGTCTTCATCCTTTGTTCTGCGGTGATTTCTTTGTTCATGAGTATAATTCTATCTTATTGGGAAAATATTGACCTTGGTTTCTCACTGTTCTGTCACTGCTGCATGACACATTGCTCCCAAGCTTGGTGGGTTAGGACAGCAGCAGACCACCTAGCTCAGGACTGGGAAAGGGCTGCGTGGTGGTGCTGGCCCCGGGCGGGGGAGCTGCAGACACGGCCTCCTTCCGTGTGCGGCCTCGGGGCCTGCTGGGCCCTCACAACTCTCATCCTGCTTACCTAGCTTCCCAGTGCCGGTGAGTCTCCCAAGACCAGCAGGTGGCAGCTGAATCACCTGTGACCTGCTAGGAAGACACATAGCTTCACTTCCTGTCGTCACAGGCCTGCCAAGTGGAGACCACATGGCAGAGGACAGCGTGGGTGGGGTGGGACCGGCACCTTTAGGAGTCATCGTCACACGCAGTCCTCATATGTGCGCAGAGCAGGGCCCGGACGCGGCCTTGGCCAGCAGGCCAGGTGGCCCTGGGGCCCACTGCCCAGGCCTCGACCCCTCATCAGTCAGTCGTTTTGTTTCCCAGGCCGCCCGACCTGGGAGGACCTCCTCCGAGAAAAGCCGTGCTGTCTATGAACGGCCTCAGTTACGGGGTGATCCGCGTTGACACAGAAGAAAAGCTGTCAGTCCTCACCGTTCAGGACGTCGGTCAGGTGATGCCTGGAGGTGAGGGGCGAGCTGGCGTGTGTGTCCATAACTGATCAACATGAAAAGAGTCGCAACTGCGCAGGCTCTAGGAGTGCTCCGGAAGCACCAGTGAGGAACTTCTTAAAAGTGTTTTTCCGTGCAAATTGGGGTTTTAATTTATAACATTCTTCCTATTTTTTGCTTCCATTTGTATTAAGTTTAGAGTTGAGCTAAAAAACAAGAGTACGTTTATGGCCTCAAGCCTGACTTGTAGACCCAGTGTCTGGGGAGATGGTGAACTGGCCTTCATACCTCACACGTTGAGTGAGGCATTAACCCCACAGCGCCCAAGGATGTCTGGGTAACATGACGATTAGATTGTCCCAGCGAGGCCCACAAGTGCGTGTCATGTTAGCGTGAACTAAGGTTCGCAGACATTGCTGTGGGCGCCAGAAGGGCCCCCGAGAGCCGTCCTGCACACCTGCTGTGGGCCCAACTGTCACACAAGTGCTTGGAGGTTTGCCTGTCATCACCATGGCCGTGCAGCGAGGCAAGGGTGACAGAGCTGCCTCCCTGCGGTTCTGTTGGCGCATCCACACGGAGTGACGCGTGTGAGTGACCCAGTGAGTGCGCGGTCACTCCCATTGCAGCAGCCCCACAGCTGCTCCAGCTCCCTGCTCACCTCACCGGCCCTTCTGAGGGTGATGGGCAGTTGTCCTGGCCCACCTGTGATGCCTGGGGACAGGCTGCCACCTCTCAGTCACCCTGATACCTGTGCGCTGTGACTGCGTCCAGGCTGCGGGGTCCTCAGGGCTGCGTCAGGCGGACGAGGACAGAATGGGAGCCACTCTGGCCCATGTCAGTTGCCCTGGAGGGAGAGCTCGCAGTGCACGCCCGACCCTGTGTGAGGGACACCTGGGCTCAGAACCAGCCCGGGAGTCCACGTATTATTCCTGCTTACATGTCAGTGATGTGAGATGTGCTTTTTCTCGATAATTCTACCACACGTATGGAATCATCAGTCCTGTAGTAACTTGAACACAAGGATGACACATTTTACAAAGAGCAAGGATTGGGAGTCTTATTTTTAGTAGTTACGAGGACAACACAGTAAAAGTTTGGGGAAATACAGTCTTAGGGATTATTCTGAATGAAAGAATAAGGGACTTTCATAGTAATGTTCACGTCTTACTATAAAAAGTGGACCCAGATAGACTGTGTGTACGGTGCTCCCCTTGGCGCGCACGCGCGCGTGTGTGTGTGTACACGGTGCTCCCATCAGTGTGTGTGTGTGTGTGTGTGTGTGTGTGTGTGTGTGTGTGTGTGTGAGTGAGTGTGTGACCGGTGCTTCCAATATGAAGTGTATTTTGACCTTTTGTGCCTTTCTGTGAGTTACGTCAGGGTCTCTGTCATCACAGTGAGTGTGTGCATGTGAGAGCCCTGCGTGTGAGCTGAGGGCCGCTTCCGTCAGCCCCACATCCCAGTGTTCTCTCCTCTGAGGCTTTGACTGACGTGGCGCAAATGGAAATGAGTGGTGATGGCTCTCCTGTGCTGGCTCCGTGCTGACCATGTTCGGAGATGAGAGTATATTAGAAAAAACTCAAGTGGCAAAGGAAGGATGAGGCCTCGGCAGTCGCAGGTGATTTAATTATCGCCAAGCGATGAGTTGCGTGTGCTGGACCAGTGCACGTGCTGGTGGGCATTTCGCTCCTTTTGGAGGCTGCTTCTGGATGCCTGTCCAGGGCAGGGCTGGGTGGCACGGTCCCCAGGGCCGAGGGGCGGGCAGCGGACAGCAGGCAGGAGTGTCCCACAGGGTACTCCTAGTGCAAGCAGAATGGGGTGATAGGCTGTGGCAGGGGCCACACCGAGACCTGTGTGACAGGTACCAGTGGGGTCCGTGAGGCCCCTCAAAGCAAATGTGAGAGATGGTGGCTGTCGACTGCCAGGTCACCCAGCGTCTCAAATGGGTGCAGCAGGAGTGCTGGGAGCATGGGCGTCCCATTGGTCCTGGCTTATCTCAGGGAGGACCACTGGCTGTCACCTCGGCATGGTTTCTGCTCTGTCAGATGTAAAGACACCACGGGGTGGAGTGCATTACGCACATGAGCCGTTGGAAGAACACACTTAGATAGCAGCCGGCAGGTCCCCGGGAGCGATGCACTCACACGTGAGTGTGACTGCGCGGGTGGCTCTCTTTCAGCGAGTGTGTGTGTCGTGAAGGTGGACGGTGCGCCGTACCTCTGTAAGACGGACGAGGTCGGAGAGGTGTGTGTCAGCTCCAGCGCGACCGGCACGGCCTACTATGGACTGCCTGGGGTCACGAGGAGCGTATTTGAGGTTTGTCCCTGTGCGCTGAAACGAAGTCCCCGAGCATCATGTGCACAGCAGGCCGTGGACTGTGGGCCAGTGCCTTGGTGCTTCGCGGGGTCAGCTGGCAGTTGGGCATCTCACAGCCCTGATGGGAGTGGAGGTTGCCCAGGCCAACCAGCGCTCTGTTTTGCAGAGTTGTTGGGGTGGCCGGGAGGTCCAGTGAGCACCCACTCCTCTGGGCCAGGCCCTGGGAGCATGGAGATAAAGGGGCAGACACAGGAACACAGGCCCGTGGGGAACCCCTGGGTGCGGGAGCCCAAGGAGTGTCTTGTCAGCCAGTGGAGACCCCAAGCCTGGGGCTGCTCCTTCCCCTCGGCAGACACGGGTGACACCCCAGATGAGCGCATGCTGAGCTCTCCCACCTGCCCACGGGTCCTTTTGGCCAGTTGGTCAATTATCCTGGACCACAGCCTGACCGGCCCACTCTCTGCTCTGTGCAGACTGTCCCGGTCACTGCGGGAGGAGTGCCCATCTCTGATAGGCCCTTCACCAGGACGGGGCTGCTGGGATTCATCGGCCCTGTGAGTAGCCCCACCATCAGACCCAGGCCCCCGGCAGGTGGGGGGCTGCCGCTGGCCTCTGCTGAGCATCTAGAGGCCAGGGACTGGGCCACGTCCCCCAGCGCCCAGGACAGCCAGCGCCCACTGCAGAGCACTGTCAGTCCACAGCAGTGGTGCCGCTTTTGGGACTGCTGCCTGCAGCCCAGAACCCTTTACAAACTTCCGCACTGCAGGCTTTCTCGCGCCCATTGCCCCCCGCCCCCCAGCTGCCCCTTAGCCCCACCCGAGCCTGCCAGGCTGTGGGGCCCTCGCCCCCACAGGCATCTGTCACCAGGTCGCTCTGCCCCTTGTGGCCCGCCTGAGTGTCCTGCGTCCTGACTGGCATCCCTGCCTTCAGGGTGACCTGGTTTTCATCGTGGGCAAGCTGGACGGGCTGATGGTGGTCGGAGTTCGCAGACACAACGCGGATGACATCGTGGCCACTGCGTTGGCTGTGGAGCCCATGAAGTTTGTCTACAGAGGCAGGTGATGCGCTGCGGGTCCCCGTGCTGAGGCTCAGGATTGGAGAAGCCTGTGTGCAGTGGACGGGGGCCAGTGATTTAGCACACAAACCCCACAAAGAAAAGGGCGACATGTGCAGCAGGGATGGCAGAGTTCGTGTCCTCGCTGTCCCCAGAGCTCAGGTGGTCCCCTAAGACAGTGCGACCAGAATATGTAAGTGGGCACAAACCCCACGTGGAGCCGCGCACACAGAGCAGTGAATACCAGCGGCCACGCCTCGTCTCCGGGGTTTCGCGAGACAGGCAGGGTCTCTGCCTAACCCTCAGTTCACCTTTTCTGACGCTTAGACAAGCACTAAAGAGTCTCATTTCCACTGAGCACATAAACAGACCCGAGGCCAGCCGGGCTCTGGGGTGAGGAGGGGCCCCCTGGAACCCCTGTCCAGCCCCCTCCAGCCCCAGCGTTGTCCTGGGGGAAGCAGCCCAGCCCTGCCCACTCAGCCAGCGGCAGCTCTACATTTTGTCCTTCTCAGTAAGTGCTTTTATTACTCAGACTAGGGTGCCTGTGAGCCTGTCCAGACCCTGCCTTGAACACCTTAAAGAAATCATGAGGGAATTCTGCCAGGTTTGGGGGTCAGCCTGGGCTGCTGGCCTCTCCCAGGCCAGGTGATGGGCGTGGGGGGCCTGCCCAGGAGAGAGCAGCAAGGCAGGCCGTTGGGTTTGTGCAGGGTGGAGCGTCCCAGGACGTCACCATCTGTCCTCACAGAGGAACCCGGGAACACTGCTGGGGCAGGCGTCTGGGTGACGGCGGCAGCCATGCCCCTTGTGGGCTGGGTCACCTGACGGTTCCTGGAGGTGAAGATCCGCTCTGAGCAAGCGCCTGGTGAGGCGATGGCAGCCCGGGTGATTGGCTGTGGCGTGGGGCGATGGACGGTGTGACCTGTCCCCGCCGGGGAAGAGCTTGAGGAACACAACCGCCTCGAAACAGAATCTCGGCCAGTTGAGCGTGCCGTGGGAAAGCTTAGCAACCGATCATTGTTTACACAAAGAACACAGTAGCTGGAATAAACGGGACAGATGCAGCTACAGATAGAATCGATAAGCTAGGGGTCAGATTAAGGAACTGCTCCAGAGGTTCAGAAATGGAAGGATTAAAAGAAAACCAAGAGCGATGGGGGAGGGGAAGAAGGGTGGCAGCGCAGGTGGCAGACCCCGAAAGGAGGGCCTGAGGGGCTGGCTGGGGCTCTCAGACGAGAGCAGGGACCACGGCGAGTTCGCCAAGTCTCGGCGCCGACACAGGACCAGGCAGGATGGAGCAGGGCTGATGCGAGACGAGGACAGTGCTGTCACGTTTTTAAGTTTCTAAAAGGAACTTTTAACCTAGATTTTGTCTTCATCCAAATTGTCACATAATTGTGCAGTTGTAATAAAAATATTCATGGGTATATAAATTTCGGAAGTTTAGACACAAAAAAGATACCTTTTGTGCAAATACTTTTAGATGAGGTACTAAGAGAGACAAATTCAGGAAATGCTACAAGATGCACGAAAGTAAGGAAAATTTAGTGCTGGGTAAAGATCGCTATATAAAGGAGAGCGTGTGTGAGCGTGTGTGAGTGTGCGCGCTGGCCAGGGAAAGAACAGAGAAGGCACGTGCATGAAGGCCCAGAGTCAGCGGCAGACGAGCCGCGTGTGGTCTGACGGGAGACCAGCTGCTTGGCCTACGAGGAAAAAGGGCGAGATCAGCTCAGAGTCTGGAAGAGGGAAGGCGACCCCGAGCAGAGCACAGGGCGGAGATGCTTCAGGTGGGGCAGCAGCGCACAGGGGGGCACGTAACCAGTGGGTTAAAAATGTAACTCATGGAGCTGTCAGACAAATGAAGGAAACTTTCTTTTAAACTGTGAACCTGCTGACTTTGCTCGGCCGGGAATTCCTCTCTGAGCGAACTGACACTTGCTCAGCCTGTTCGCGGAGGTGAGTGGCTGCTTACTGTGTAAATCCTCAAGCAGCCCGTGCGACTGACTTCACACCCCAGCCCTTCCCCCTCCCTCTCCAGTGACAGGAGGGTCTGCCCATCCGGGTCCTCTGCTGGGTGGTCATCTTTGTCCTTGTCCTCCCAGGATCGCCGTGTTCTCCGTGACGGTGCTGCACGACGACCGGATCGTGCTGGTGGCCGAGCAGCGGCCAGACGCGTCCGAGGAGGACAGCTTCCAGTGGATGAGCCGCGTGCTGCAGGTGGGCAGCCACGCCCTGTCCCCTGTCGGCCCCACCTCCCCTGCAGACAGGCACGGGCAGAGGCTCTGCCACCCGCCCTCTGCTGGGCACCTTCACGGCCCTCTGGCCGCTGAGCAGGCCAGGCCGGAGCCTCATTGCCCCACGCTTGCGCATGGGGGACTTGTGGGGACTCCTAGCCCCAGGCCCCTCCCCCGCCCGCGCTTTGCACACAGGACGCCCCGAGGCCAGCCGTGAGGCCTATGAGGGGAGGAGCCTCTGGTAGCAGTCCCGCCAGGCCACTGAGGGTCCCACCACGCCGCTGTCGGCGCCCTGCCACGCAGCTGTCAGGGAGCTTCAAGTGAAAAGGCCATGCAGGTTGGAAGTGGCTGCCCCGGGCGAGCTGTGGGGCAGGAGCGGCCGCCCACATGCTGTGGCCGGTCCTCACATGTCACACACCAGCACCCCAGAAGGAATGGCACTGTGACCCCGAGTGCCAGTCTCTGGGTTGAGCTGTGGCTGCAGGCTGTGACCAACAGTGGGGACACTTGCACCACATATGTCCCCTCTGCACGCCACGCTTGCTTTTACCTTGAACCAGTGACCGCAGTTCCACGTAGTCTCGGGAGGGAGCAGAGGCTGCATTCAGTACCTGCATAACCTTAACTGCATCGTCCAGGGAGGGTGTTGTCAGCTGGCTGGGATTTCCACCCACATGAGCCATCTGGGGTGCAGGTGGTAAACTCTAAATTCACGATAATTAGGCTGCAGGACACGCCCACCACCCAGCAGCTTCTCCCCTGTCCCGTTGCGTTCATCCCCAGCCCTCACCTGCACCCCGCCTGTCCAGCCCGAGAAGCTGCGGTCGCTCTGTCACCGCAGGCGGACGGACCGATGATGTGCTCTGTAGGGTCCCGGGTGGCCCCTCGTCATGGCCCGGCACCCCGTGGTGGCGTGTGGGCCACTTCAGGCCTTCATGCTGAGTCAACTTCCATTTCACCTGTTCACACCTCGGTGGACACCTGGGTGGTTTCTTCCCGGCTGTTGTGAGTAAAGCTGCTGTGGACAATGGTGTACAAGTCTTTGGGTGGATTCAGTTCAGGCAGCTCTCCAGGGAAGCTCTGGGGTCTGTTGCATGCCGTTGGCGTGGCCCCACGGACCCCGGAAAAGATGCGTTGTCCAAGGGCACCCCCTCATGTCAGGAGCTCAGGGAGCCCCGATTTCAGAGGAATGAGGCACATTTATTTTAAGTAGAAGTTTTTATGTGTTATCACGGAGCATTTCTAATGCACCGAACATAAAAGTAGTGAAACAGCACTCATGTCCCCATCACCCGGCTTCAACAGTTGTCAATCCAGATCCATCTGTCCCCACCTGTCCTCCCCCTTCTCCCTCAGGAGTGTTTTGAAGCAAATCCCAGACATCACATCATTTTATCTGTAAAGATTTTAGCATCCATTTCTGTAAAAAATACCATCATCACATTTTAAAAATCAACAATAATTTTTCAAATTTTGTTTTATTGAGATATCATTGACATAGTAGTCCAAGGTGGACCGCGTAACGACTCGATATTTGTCCATGTTGGGAAACGGTCACCACAGTAAGTCTCCGGGGCATCACCACACAGTTACAAGTTCTTTCCCTGGTGATGAGAACTTTTAAGATCTGCTGTCTTAGCGACTCTCAGGTGCACACGGCAGCATCTTCCCTGCAGGCCCTCCTGTGCATCCACCCCAGGACTTACCTTGTAACCGGAAGTTTCCTTCTTGTGACACCTTCACCCGGTTCACCCCCATCCCCCGCCTGTAGCAACCACCGCTCTGTTCTCTGTACCTCTGAGCTTGGTTTGCTTTTGTTTCTGTCTTGGATTCCACATGTAAGTGAGATCATGCTATCTGTCTTCCTGTCTGACTTACGGTATTTCACTTAGCATGATGCCCTCCGGGTCTATCCATGTCACAAATGGCAAGATTTCACCCTGTTTTATGGCTGGATAACATTCCGTTGTATGTGTATTTTACATCTTCTTTGTCCATTAGTTCATCAGTGGACACCCAGGTTGTTTCCTATCTTGGCTGTTGTGAATAACGCTGCAGTAACCATAGTGGTGCAGATATCTTTTCGAGTTATGTTTTGAATTTCTTCAGATGAATACCCAGGAGTGGAATTGCTAGGTCATAAGGTAGTTTTTTTTTTTAATTTTTGAGGACCCTCCACAGTGTTTTCCATAGTGGCTGCACCAATCTGCAATCCCACCAACAGTGCATGAGGGGTCCCCTTTCTCCGCGTCCTTGCCAGCACTTGTTGGTTGATTTATTGGTGATGCCGTTCTGACAGGTGTGAGGTGACAGCTCGTTGTGGTGTTGATTCGCTTGTCTCTGATGATGGTGAGTGATGCTGAGTGTCTTCTCATGACCCTGTTGGCCATCTGTGTCCGCTTTGTAGAAACATTCAGATCTTCTTCCCACTTTTTAATTATATTTGGGGGTTTTTTGCTATTCAGTTGTATGAGTTTTTTACATATTTTGGATCTTAATCCCTTATCAGATATATGATTTCTGCCATTCTGTAGGTTGCCTTTTCATTTCATTGATGGTGTCCTTCTCTGTGCAGAAGCTTATTAGTTTGATGTAGTCCCAATTGTTAATTTTTTATTTTGGTACCTTTGCTTTTGGTGTCAAATCCAAAAAGTCATCACCAAGGCCTGTGTCAAAGAGCTTATCACCTGTGTTTTCTTCAAGGAGTTTTATGGTTTCAGGTCTTAAATTCAAGAATCTAATCCATTTTGAGTTGATTTGTGTGTGTGTTGTAAGATAGTGGTCTTGTCTCATTCTTTTGCATGTCTCTCCAGTTTTCTCAACACCATTTACTGGAGACACTGTCCTTTCCCCATAGTATGTTCCTGGCTCCTTTGTTTTAAGTTGCTTACCAGGTAACTGTAGGCTTATTCTGAGGCTCACAATTCTGTTCCGTAGTCGGATCACCGTACTGTGTGGTCATGAGTTTGAAATCCAGGAGTGTGAGGCCTCCAGCTCTGTTCTGCTTTCTCAGGGTTGCCGTGGCTATTTGGGATCTTTTGTGGTTCCACACAAATTTTAGGATTGTTTGTTCAATTTTTTTGAAAAATGCGTTGGAATTTTTATAGGGACTGCATTGAATGTGTAGAAGGCTTTGGGTAGTGTGGACATTGCACCAATACTCTTCTGCTCCATGAGCACCGACGCCTTTCCATTCATTTGTGTCTTTATCAGTGCCTTAGTTTTCAGTTTCACCTCTTGGCTAAATTCATTCCTAAGTATTGTATTCTTTTCGATGCAGTTGTAAATGGGATTGTTTTCTTAATTTCTGTTTCTGATAGTTTGTTATTAGTATATAGGAATGCAACAGATTTTTGTATAGTGCTTTAGTAATCTGAAACTTTACTGAACTCAAGCATTATTTCTAATAGCTTTTTGGTGGAGTCCTTAGGATTTACTCTATATAATATCATGACATCTTCAAGTAGAGACAGTTTTACTTCTTCCTTTCCAATTTGGATGGCTTTTATTTTTTTCCTTCTTTTTCTTGCCTGACAGCTCCAGATAGGGTTTCCAGTATTAGGCTGAATAAAAATGGTGAATGTGATGTTGGCTGAGGATTTGTTATATATGGCCTGTGTTATGCTGAGGTACATTCACGCTATAACCACTTTGTTGAGAGTTTTTGTCATAACAGTAATTTCTGATGTGATTAACTAATCACTGTTTAAATTTCCCTGATTATCTAACATTTAGTTTGTTAGATTTAGGGTCAAAATGAGGTAAAAATTGCGTTGGTTGTCTTTAAGTCTTTTCTTAAGGTCTTTAAGTCTTTTCTAATATGTATAGATTCCTCCTCTGTCATAGTTTTCTTGCAATTTGTTTATTGACAAAACCAGGTTTGTCCAGTGTGTTTCACCAGCCTGCACTGTGATGACTGTGCCTCTGCGGTGTCATTTCATGTCCTCTGCCCCCTGTAGTTCCTGCATTTTGGTGTTAGATCTGAAGCAGCGGTTCTCAACCTTCCTAATGCCGTGACCTCTTAATACAGTTCCTCATGTTGTGATGATCCCCAACCATAAAATCATTTTCGCTGCTACTCTGTAACTGTAATTTTGCTACTGTTATGAATCATAATATAAGTATCTTTTTGTCTTAGGCGACCCCTGTGAAAGGGTCGTTCAACCCCCAGGTTGAGAACCGCTGATCTAAAGGGTGGATCAAATGCACCTTCCACTTTCTGAGCACAAATTCTTCATAGAGGTGGCACACAGAGCCTGGTGGGTTAGTGAGGCTGCGTCTGGTGGTCTGCTCGGATGTCACAGTGGTGCTCCGGTGCCACCGCCTCTCTGTCGTCAGAGCTAAAGCAGCTTTGGAAGATTCTTCAAAGAGTGCCGTGTCCTGTCGGGTTCCCAGGGAATCTGGAGGGCAGGCCCAGCAGGAAAACAAGGCTGATGATAGCTTTCAGAGCAGTGAGCTGGTTTCCTGGAATCCTCGGAAAGTGCCCACTGGGTTAGGTTTTGTTACTTCATTTTTCAGAGCTCAGGGGGAGCCTCTTCAGGTTGCCTGGGGAGGCCTTGTGACACCCCCAACCCTTTGGGGCCACACCAAAGAACAGGAAGCCCAGATGCGGGGAGGCAGTGCTTTTGTGTCCTAGGCCTATCACGCCTATCATAGCTGGGACCCCAGGGGCCCTGCTGCCTTCCAGGAGAAATGCATTTGGGACCACCATCTGTATTCTTGGTATCACCGGCTTAGTCACCGTTTCTGGGCTTTTAAGTCGACAGAGTAGGAAATGATGTCTTTCTGCAAGATTACCAACATCATGAGTTTATGCTGCTAGCTTCAAGTCAAATTCAAGACCATGGGGTTTGCCCTGATTCGTTGCTCTCTCTTTCCCCACAATGCACAGCTCGAGCAGAAGTGCTCATATCCCTCAGGACCTCTACACACTGCAGTCTCGACCTCTACGACCTCTGCAGAGTGAGATTTCTGAGAGCAGCCCATCAGGCATATCCCACCAGGGGTGGGCTAATCAAATCACCGTGTTTAAAGTCAGTGTAAACAGGTTCTCTCTGTGGGGCTTTGCCACCAACCTGATCCCAGGTGAAGGAGTTTGTTTGATTTTACTTCTGGTTGTTGAGGGCTGCTTTTTAAAATTCTGAGTGTTTTATACATAAAATATGTATGTGGTCCCAAAGCTAAATCTGTAATGTCTACCCAGAGGACACCTGTTTCACCCCTCCCCACAAGAAATCACTCAACACGGCTTCTACCACTTATCCAACTGTGCATTTTTAATGGAAGTGGTTCCAGGTTTCTGAACATGTTCCCAGACACAGTGCGTGTGTACGTGTGCATGTGTGTGCATGTGTGTGGTGACATGAGAGAGTGCACGTGTCTATCTTGTTTTCTCGGTTAACACAGCGTCCCCATGATCACTGTCTATGTGACCTTGGGCTGGAATGCCCTCAGTGCAGTGCCCAGCCCTGCAGCTTCTCGGAGCCGTGAGCTGGCCAGCGTGTCGGCCCTCAGACGCAGCCCCTCTGTCCCCTGTGTCCCCTCCAGGCCATTGATAGCATCCACCAGGTCGGCGTCTACTGTCTGGCCCTGGTCCCTGCCAACACCCTGCCCAAGGCTCCTCTTGGCGGGGTTCACATCTCGGAAGCCAAGCAGCGCTTTCTGGAGGGGACGCTGCACCCGTGCAATGTGCTGATGTGCCCGCACACCTGTGTCACCAACCTTCCCAAACCTCGCCAGAAGCAGCCAGGTGAGTCGTGCCTCATGGTCTTCAAACGGGGGCAGCTGCACTCTGGTTCAGCCTCCTGCCAGTCACCAGCTCCCGCCTTCTTGGAGCTGAGCCACGGAGGTGAGCGTGAGCACGTCACTGGTGTGGGTGCTCCCGCCAGCCTGTCGGGACCCATCTCAGTGTGCATTCAAGCCCAGCACGTTGGCTTTGGATGGCGAGGCGATGGCTCCTAGGAGGAGAGATGCTGGCAAGAGCGGACTTGGGGCTCGGGGCCTTGAGGAGCCTGTGTTGACCCACTGAAGCCAGGCGGGCGGGGGGTACCTGTGCACTGCCACGGCCACAGGGTGAGGGGATCTGGCAAGTCGCGAAACATTGTCAGTTTCCCTTCCCTGGTTTAACTGTTAACGTTTTTCCTTCCTTTGGTTATATGAATTTTCAGTAAATGCTGACTTTTCTCTGTGCTTATTGAACACTAAAGTATCATTAAGTAAAATACATTTAATCAGGAAGATTTAATTTCCTGATTTATTAATGAAATACAGTAAAACAGTGAATTATATGAAGAGTTTAGCTTCAGTATACTGAGGCTGCCTTCTGGCTGGCTCCCTCGGACAGGCCCTGTTCCCTGGAGGCCTGCTTAAGGAGGCCTGCTAAAGGTGGCCGACGTGCGGTGGCGCTCCCCAGATAGGTGCCGTATGGCGAGTGTCTCTGTGTGGCATTTCCTGTACTTAAGAGAACGATTCTTGTCGTTGAGTAGAACTTTGTATCGGGAGTCACAGCTCTCATTCTGCACACTCCCCACCCCCGTTTCCTAGAGGTGGGACCGGCCTCCATGATTGTTGGGAATCTGGTTGCTGGGAAGAGAATTGCACAGGCCTCGGGGCGGGAGCTGGCTCACCTTGAGGACAGCGACCAGGCCAGGAAGGTGAGGCCCATGCCTGGGGGTGAGGAGGGCGCCCCCCTCCCCACTGGAGCCCCAGGGCCCTGAGCCGCCTCCCCCTCCTCAGTTCCTGTTCCTGCCGGATGTGCTGCAGTGGCGAGCCCATACCACCCCCGACCACCCGCTGTTTCTGCTGCTGAACGCTAAGGTGAGGCCGATGGAGCGGGTACAGCTTGTCCACAGGACCCAAGGAGCGGACACTGCCCAGCTCAGTGGTGACCCGATGACTGCTTTCCTAGGGCACGGTCACGAGCACTGCAACCTGTGTCCAGCTGCACAAAAAGGCTGAAAGAGTGGCCACCGCTCTGATGGAGAAGGCAAGACTGATTGTTGGGGACCATGTGGCTTTGGTCTACCCCCCAGGTAAGCACACCAAGACGTCCCAAGAGTCACCTCGGCCTGTCCTCTCCACACATGCCCACCTCCCTCAGCTCTTCTCTCACGGGACAGTCCCAGTGGTGCCAGCATCACAGCCACCATTCCCACGACCATTGGGGGCCTCTGGTGAGCCCCCAAGCTGCGGTCCTGCACCATCGCAGCCCACACGCTCCAGCTTCTGAGACGGCGTGGGTGTCCGTTAACTGTAGCTTCTTCACATGGCCACACCCCTTTTAAATAATTATTATCCAACTGCTGTTAGACTTGTGCTTTTCAGTTCAGCCTTTATCATCCTTTTGCCTTTTCATCTGGCTGTTCTTGCCCCATCTCTGCCCTACATGTTGTTATTATAAAGCAGCCACCCTCATCACCACCCGTCAGGTGAAGAAGCAGAGTTTTGCCAAGCACCCCGAAGTCCCCTTGCGTTCCCGTCCCAACCACAGCCTCCGCCATCCTCCCAAGGCAGCTGCTGTCCTGGCCTCTGGAGTCATAATTTCTTCATTTCTTTGCAGTTTAATCCCCAGACATCATTGTTCCATCTACCAGCTTTCCTTAAATTCGATATATTTTTTAAGTCTCTTGATCTACAGGCTGCCATCTTTCCCTCGTTCCTTACAATTTACCGACTAAAGACTCATGACCCTGCAGCTCGCACAGTCTGGACGTTGCTGAGTGCCGCTCATGCCGGTGAGCACGTCCCTGGGTGCTGCGTTTCGTGCAGATAGGCAGCTGGGTCCGGACACCGGGTCCCACGCAGGACCCAGGCCCTGGCCGAGCCCACGCAGCACCGCACTCTGTCATCGGAGCTGCGTGCTGGCGATAGTCGCGACACAGGCCCCTGCATCTGTCGCATCTGTCACCAGTCGTGTCTTGTCGCATCTGTCATCTGTTGTGACTGTAGCGCTGTCACCTGTCGCAGCTGTTGCCTGTCATGGTGCACCTGTTGTGTTTGTCACATTTGTCACCTGTCATCTTTTGCGACTGTCGCGACTGTCATGAGCGCATCTGGCACCTGTTGTATCTGTCGCGACTGTTGCTTCTGTCACCTGTCGCACCTGTCACCTTTCGTGTCTGTTGCACCTGTCACGACTGTCACCTGTCATGTCTGTCATGTCTGTTGTCTGTGTGTTGCCTGTCATGTGCCATCTGTGTGTCTTCTGTCATCTGTCGTCTGTCTGTCTGTTATTTGTCAGGGCGCCACTGCAAGCACAGCCTCTCTTCACCCCATGTTTCTATCCCACCAGTAGCTGTCTCTTTAGTGCTCACCTCAGGCCCCACGCCTGCATCTTTGGTCGTGGTGTTTTTTGCAAGCTGGTTCTATAATCAATTTCCCAGGAAAGTTCCTGGGAAGCATCCCTCCATGTTATTGCTCATCGATAACAGTTTGTACACGATGTCATTGAAAGTCACTTCTGCTGGATAAAGAATCCTTGACTCGGTGTCTTAGGTCATGTTGTCCTGGCCTAGGGCATCAGCAGGTCTGGTGAGCGTGTCACCTCCGTACTGACGACATTCTTGCCTGACCTGCAGGGCCCTGTGCGGCTCCCAACAGTGACCGCCTCTTCCAGCTTACCTGGTGGGACACTGGGTTGCACTCAGCACTTTCTCTGTGCAGGGACTCCTGCTGCTGGTGGGAGCTGAGCGCCTTTTCCCAGGGGGCTGCCATGGAGTGTAGACGTTCATGTGACCACCGGCCACGTGCTCCCCAGCCCGAGAGCCGGGTTTATCTCTTGACACAGATAGTTCAGAACGACAGTTCCCTGTCATCACAGCTGCTTCTGTTGTCTCCAGTCCCTGGAATAGGCTACTTTCCCCCAGGGTGACTGGAAACCCTGGGGTTCCAGGGCACTTGCAGCGCAGCCTGCTGTAAGGCGAGCATATCCCTGGCAGAGAGGAGATGGGAACACAGCCGCTGGAGCCCCTCACGGTGACAGCCTGGGAGGACGAGAGCATTTCCTGGGCTCAGAGATGGGCTACAGGCAGGTGCCATGTGGAAGGCACGCTTGGGGACAGGCTGGGCTGAGGTCACAGGGTGCGTGGGAACTGCCAGGAGAGAACACATGGTGCCATGTGATAATTGAGGATCTGAGTGGTGAAGATGGCTGGTGCTCTTCACTCCTTGGGCATGTTTGACACTGCCTGCAAAAGATGTTTAACGAGGAAAAGAAAGTGCCCAGTGGTGTTCTGCGTTCATGTAAACGCTGACCCCCAGGTGGGGAGAAGACTGGCGGGACTTGGAACGCCGGTGGTTCAAGTGCTGTGCAGATGCTGGGCACGTGTGCTGCTGTTTCTTGAGGACAGTCCCAGGCTGTCTCCCAGTTTTCAGAGGGGTGTGAAACCAAAACTCTGTAAGGAGCAGGGGGCGGGGTAGGGCTGGGGGGCGCCATTCTCCCATGTGCCCCCCGGGACAGATGTGGGAGCAGGAGGGGCTGTGCAAGCTCACACAGTGAGTTCCTGCTAACACCTTCCCGGCGATCCGTTTGGTAATGTGCTCGTGGCACATTGGCAGAGTGACTGAGCCTTGCCTGTGGCGTGCCAGGACCATCCTGGCTCGTGGGTGGGCTCGGGCCCCAGGGGTCACATTTCTAGTTCCCGATGGAGCACTGGGGCTCTGATTAGGTGAGACCCACAGGCGGGGTTAAACGTGCACGTTCATCTTTACTCTGGACCTGAAACAGCCTGAGACTGATGCCTCGTAGCCTGAGTATACCACATGGGGCCGCCTCTGATTTGAGGGCAGCACCTAGACAGGCCTCCCGGGCGCGGGGCACAGGTGCTCTCAGGTCGGACTGAGTTCAAGCAGAGAAGTGGGTTCTAGGGGCGGCATGATTCCCCACGAGTGTTAGTTAAGGAGACATTTAAACACGTAGAGAAGATGCTGTATTGCATCGTGTGGCTGAAGGCAAGGCGGGGACATCCCGGCCTGTCCCCATGGGTGTCCTGCAGCAGTACATCCCCAGGAGAGGCACCCGGGCCACTGCGTGTGGGCATCAGGCCTGTGCACGTGCGCTGCTCCCACTGCCGTGTGCTCATGGGGCCTCCTCATGGGCGGCACACCGGCGAGGCTTCCTCGCTGTCCCCAGGCAGGTCTGGCGCTGTGTGGGGCGCCCACCTGCAGGGGGCGCTGTGTCCTCCCCTGACTGTTGCTGTTGGTTGGGGCGGTGGCTCTGCGATCTGAGCGGGCTGCACACCAGGCTGAGCTGCGCTAACCTGCTGACCCTGTGACTGTCCCCAGGGGTGGACCTCATCGCCGCCTTCTACGGCTGCCTATACTGCGGCTGCGTACCCGTCACCGTGCGGCCCCCGCACCCCCAGAACCTTGCCACCACGCTTCCCACCGTCAAGATGATTGTGGAGGTGCGTGCGCTGTGGCCCCACAGGGCAGCCCGGTCGAGGGCCTCCTGTCCTCATAGCTGTGGCCATCTCCCCAGGCCCCGTGCTCGGGCACCGCGTCTCATCTGCCTTTGGTCCCTGTGCTCTGCAGGTCAGCAAGTCTGCGTGCGTCCTCACCACACAGGCCATCATGCGGCTGCTCAAGTCCAAGGAAGCCGCGGCCACCGTGGACGTCAGGACCTGGCCGACCATTCTAGATACAGGTACGTGTCCGCAGCACTGTCCGCAGCGTGCACACAGGCCCCGCCCACAAGCCCTCTGACCTCTCCTTGGAGGGATTGCACTGGCCACTCAAGGTCAGTCGGGGATCCAGCCACTGGAGCTGGTGGAAGGAAGGTTCCCCACCCACTGGAGCCACTCACAGCTGGCCGCCCCAGCAGAGTCTCTGCGCCAGTGGGAATGAAGGTCCCATCTGAGGCTCAGGTGCCGGTGGACCCCAGCTCACTCCTGCCGCTGCCCCTCATGCCTGCGTAGCGGTTGGCAGCTGTGGGGACACAGGTCCCGCAGTGCACACGCACGCGCACTCATACCCACCGCTCGTCCCCATCACTGATGAATGTGCCACGTCTCATGAAATGCTTTTGGGTCACTTGGAAGGGCTAAAAGCCCCCAGTCCCTCTGCCTTGGCCCATCGGGTCAGCCTGGGGCTGAGTGTTCCCCCATTATAGACACCCCAAATGAGCAGCATCCCCAGGCCCCGTTGGCGCTTTGAGGTATGTGGCTACATGAGTGCCAGCCAACAAGCAGACAGGAGTCCCTCCTCCCCATCTCACCTGGTGGACATGCGTCCTTGTGCTCCAGGGCACACCCTGTGTGGGGTCAGGGACGTGCTCTCTGGCACCTGCCTGAGCCCTCGACAGGCGTGGGAGTGACCCCGGTGCCCTCCCTGTGGCTGGGTCCTTTGTTGATCCTGGCTCGCCCCAGGCTGTGACCTTTCTGCTGGACAGCAATCCCGCCATTGCCCCTGCCCCACACGCTCAGCGCTGTCACGGTGAATCCATGTCGTGTGACTAAACTGCCACACACATACATGTAGCCTGCCTTCCTGTCTGAGCACGCTCCCCAGGTCTCCCCGTTACCAGTCGTGTGTCATCTCTCCCATGAGAGCTCAATAGCCTTAACAGTCATCTCCGTTTAGCAGATGACATACCGAAAAAGAAGGTGGTTAGTGTGTTCAGGCCACCCTCCCCGGACACACTCGCATACCTGGATTTCAGCGTGTCGACCACAGGGATCTTAGCGGGCGTGAAGGTGGGTGCCCCATGGGACCCCTGACGGGAGGGCGGGGAGATGCTGGGTGTGGGGCACGTAGGCCCCTCTTCCGAGCCAAATAACAGTGTTGCTCCTTAAAGTTTGCAAACCCCGAATTTTGGTCGGCCCGAGAGTAGTGCGTACTTTGAGGTCTCATGGTAACGTCTAAACTTTGGGATCTGTGACTCCTGGCCTTGAGGAGCAGGTGGCTTCACTAAGTCCCTGTCCTTATGAGGAGCCGTTCGCTCTATCACAGTGCTTGATCCTGAAATCGTGCTAAGGAGTTTTTTGGGCGCCATTGCCTGGGTGTGTCTGGCTTTGTGTGGGGTCGGAGCCCGCCATCCCGTAAGGCAGTGTGTGCTGCCCGCTGGGCCTCTCCCCCCACGTACCATGGACACCCGTGTTTTGCCCCCTAAGATGTCGCACGCTGCCACGAGTGCCTTGTGCCGCTCCATAAAGCTGCAGTGTGAGCTGTACCCTTCCAGGCAGATCGCCATCTGCCTTGACCCCTACTGTGGCCTCGGCTTCGCCCTCTGGTGTCTGTGCAGGTGAGCACTGGAAGACTGGGTGAGAGTGCAGGGACCCACCTGCTGTGCCCGCCTGCTGGGTTGGGATTGCAAGCAATTCTTTAGAACCTTAACATTCTAAGATGCATTTTGATACCAGGAAGATATACCAAAGATACACGTTGTGAGTGGGTTTGTTTGCGGGTGGGGTGGGTACGAGTCTGGGTGTGTTGAGTAAAAACAAAAAAGGTGTTCATTAAACATGAACACTGCCCAAAGTAGCAGTTGGGAAGAGGTTACTGAATTCCATGAAATACTGGGAAGCAGCACTGGGCCTTTAGAAGCAGAGAACTGAGCCCCCAGCCGGCGGACCCTGCCTAACAGTGACTCGGGATCCTTCTGAAGTGCGGGAGGGAGACAAGGACCCTGTGTGTCGCCTCCAGGCGGGCCCAGTGTGTTTTCCACTGAAACTCCCTCCCGCTGGACGTTAGGGAGAATTGTACCCCCTTCTGTCCTTGAAGAAGGGAAGAGGCGGTGCCCCGGGCATGTTGGGCGCATGCAGGCAGGGCACCTGGGGCACGCAGATGGCACCCCCAGGCGGAGCACCTTCCGGAGCCTCCGCTGACCTGACCCCCACGGCCCCGCAGTGTCTACTCTGGACACCGGTCGGTGCTGGTGCCCCCGCTGGAGCTGGAAAGCAACGCGTCCCTGTGGCTGTGGGCCGTGAGCCAGTACAAGGCCCGCGTCACCTTCTGCTCCTACTCGGTGATGGAGATGTGCACCCGAGGCCTGGGTGCGCAGACCGGCGTCCTCCGGGTGAGTGCGCCCGCGGCCCTCTGCCCCGCCTCCCACTCCCCGCATCTCTCCTCCGGAGTGAGTGCCCGAGCCATGGGCACCGAGGTTCGCTCTAGACTGGGCCGCTGGAGCCCAAAGAAAAGACTCCCAGCCCTGCTCCCAGCCGCTTGTGGGGACAGGAAACCCTTTCCAGGCGTTGGGTCACGCTGGCTCCGCGTCCCTGCTTTCCTGCGGGCGCCACACGGCTGCAGCACTGAAGCGGGCAGGCGCATGGTGGGGCGCGCAAGGTCCACACGAGCTCTGCCGCGTCTTGGAGGCCTCGGGGTCCCTGCGGCCCTGGACTGGGAGGGGGCGGGCGGGTGGCGTGGGCACAGAGCAGCACGTCGCGCCCCAGCGCGTCCACAGCCAGACCGAGGCGGAGGAGGCGGGGCTCGGGTTCAGGCCCACCTTTGTGCTGCTCCCGCAGATGAAGGGCGTGAACCTGTCGTGCGTGCGCACGTGCATGGTGGTGGCGGAGGAGCGGCCCCGCATCGCGCTCACGCAGTCCTTCTCCAAGCTGTTCAAGGACCTGGGCCTCCCCGCGCGCGCCGTGAGCACCACGTTCGGGTGCAGGGTCAACGTGGCCATCTGCCTCCAGGTAAGGGATTGCGCGCCTGCGCCGGCCCGCCCGCTGCTGTGCCTTGTCCTGCTGCTGAGTCCGCTCCTTGTCCCCTGTCCTTCAATGTCTCATTTCCAAATAGTTTATCTTTGAGAGCTGCGAGGGTTTTATTTTAAAAGATACTCTATTGTCTTGATGAACAGAGGTTTATTGGGAAAAACACAAGTTGTTTCTGAACAGAGCTATGGTCTTACCTGGAAGAATCTCTAAGCTCGGTGCAATGTGCAGTTAATTTTTAAACGATAAACTTGCTGTATTAAGACACCTGGAATTTTAAATTGAAACATTGGTGAATGTGATCATCTGTATTGCCCCCAAATCTGTTTTTGAGACATTAAGGCATTTTACTTACTAAGAGTCAATGCGTGGTTTCAGAAATTGAACGGCCAGCTGCCAACAGTGCTGTTTACCGCTTGTGCAGGTCTTGCACTAGTGTCTCAGTTTCACTTCTTTCCCAAAACAAACTGAACGCCTCGCTAACCCTCGTGGACGGGGGTTGTTGGAGGAAAAGGCAGCGTCGGAACTGGAGCAGGCCCGGTGGGGCTCCGTCTCCTTCCCGAGCCTGTGCTCCGCTCGGCCCAGGCCACCTGCGGACCCTGTCCTTCCCCACGGGTGGGAAGGCCGCTGACCACTGCAGGCGGCAGGACGGGTGGTCTGGCGTCCCCTCCTCACACCCGTCTGCTGTAGGAAGCAGGACCGCAGGCCGTTGGCTGTAGGTAGCCGCTGTAAGGGACCCTGTCTGCCCCTCAGCATCTGAATGCCACGCCTCTTCGCTCCATACTTGAAGGTCTCTGTCTGTCGGCACTGGGATGTCACATGTCACTGCAGAAGTCCTAACGGGATACTCACATGTGCCCTTTGAGGTGCAGTGATGCCTTTTGCTGTCTCTTAACCGTGTGTTTCTCACGTGGCTGTTGCTTTCTGTTTGTCTCCTGTGGCTGTCTCCTCCTGTCTGGCTCTGCTGGCCTCCTTTACCTCTGTCAGCCCAACAGGCTGGGAAAGCTGGCTGAGCAGGTACGACCTTGACCTCAGGGTACCTCTGTGCTCCCCCCATGAGCTCCTGTGGCCTCAACTCCAGACAGATTTTTTTCACTTTGCTCACAGTGGATATTATTGGACATTACAAAAGATCCTTTGTACCCAAATTTAAGAGCAAAACTATCTCAAAAGAACTCAGCACTCATAGCACTGCCTCTGGAGGAGGCTGTGTAGTCTCAGTGAAGCGGCTTTTGTAACATTGTCTGGGGTTTTTAGAGTGACGTTGAGCAGTGTCTGTTTAACTTGATGTTCCTTACCTAATAGAACGGAACATAACACCCTCCCCAGGGTCCCTGTCAAGTGTCAGGAGGGCTGTGAGGACATGGCCGCGGCTGACCCTGCCTAAGCCCTGATGTGCTCGGCCGCATCAGCCGCCAGTACAGTTAGGTCGGCTGGGTGGACACGCCCCCGTACCTGTGGTGGTGTTTTCACCACCTGGTAGAGACCTGCCGTTAGACCTGGAACGTGAAGTCGCACGTGTTCCTGGGCGTCTCGCTCGGTGCTGTCAAGCCATGTGATGTCTGCAGGAAGGCAGCAGTGCCCTGGGCGGACTAACGGCCGGGCTGAGCTGCAGTCTCCCTGGCCGCCCGGCCATGCCAGCTAGACTCAGACACGCCCCTGACAATGCCATGAGCATCAGGCCTTCTGCTGCTCTCCTTCCAGGGCACAGCGGGCCCCGACCCCACAACGGTCTACGTGGACATGCGAGCGCTGCGTCATGACAGGTAACACCGTCACACCTTGGGGACCGTGGGAGGCTGGGCCTGCCTGGACACTAGCACGTGACTGGCTGAGCTCCACTGGGAGAGCCTGGGCCTCCCTCTCTGTGTCCCTGTGTCCTCAAGCTCAGTCAGGGTCCCTTTGTCTGTCATTCCCGTGACCAGAGGACCATAGGAGTGACCGAACATTTGACATTTTGCTTTTTATGGGGCTGAAGACAGGTAGACCAACTAACAGCAAGGACTTTTTTACATGATGCCATTTTAAGGCCGGACTTCGTTTTTATACCAGTAAGTGTGTGCTGGAGCCAGTGTGTGCCTGTGGGTCCGGCCTCTCCTGCCATGATGCTTGGATTCCCCTCTGGGCCCTTCAACGTGGCCACGGCTGCTTGAGGCAGACAGTGGTGGGGCTCGCTGTGGGCCGGCCAGCCAGTCAGGGCCCTAAGAAACCTAGAACAAGCTCCTGCCCTGAGCTGTGCCTGGGAGCTGGACAGGTACAGGGCCCATCCCCTGCAGCACCTGAAGTCCCTCCTCCAAGGTCACACCAAGGTCGTGACCAAAAGGCTGGAGGATTGTCCACACACTGACCATCACAGTGACAATTGATGAATACCTCATGGGTTGCCTTTTTAGAGATCGTTACCTGTGTAGTAGATTCTATCCTGAATTTTTTCCCTTGTTAATTTTTAGGGTACGTTTGGTGGAACGGGGTTCCCCGCATAGTCTGCCGTTGACGGAGTCTGGAAAGGTAGTGGAAGCTGAGCTCTCCCGATGAACAGACAGCCTGGTGGGGCCAGGCTGATGCGGGAGGCCTCCTCACTGCGACACACACACACACACACACACACACACATACACACACACACACACACACACACACACACACAGAGTCAGGTCTCAGCACACACCTGAGCACAGACCTGAGGCCTGAAGGAGCTCCCGACATGGCCACACAGCTCAGTCCCTGGCCCAGGAGACAGCCAGGAAGTGAGTGGTCCCCACCAGGGCCTAGAGCAGCAGGCGGGGTCCTAGACCTGCACTGGCAATTTGCCGCTGGAGCCAGTCCAGGCCTGGTGAGGCCCTGGGAGCCATCTGAGGGCGCCCGGGTGAAAACGGAGCACCGTGAGGGTCAGCAGACACACCTGGGGAAGGTTTGAAGGAAGGAGGCGCCCACAGAGCCCGATCAGGATGCGTGAGGAGGTGGCAGAGCTGAGCAGCTAGCTGCCTGTCCCTCAGCCAGCAGATGGGGTCGCAGGCCCGGACAGACAGCCCCAGCCTCAGGACTCTGCTCACTCACGCCCGCAGCCGCCTCTGGGAGGCAGGGAGATCCCACGGAGACGCCTGTGCCTGTGCTGGGGCGAGTGAGGGGTGTGGAGACCCAGCAGAAGCTCAGCTGGCCGGAGGGCCTGTGGAGGGAGCATGGCTGCAGGGAGGCCAGCCTGGCTGGGCTGAGCTGGGATGAGGAGGAGTGGCGGAGCGAGGGAGCGAGGGAGCTCACACTCCCACAGGCCTCTCTCTCTTCAGTGGCACTCTGAGGAGGAGACGTCCCGCCCTTTCTGAGGGCAGCACTGGCTCTTCCTTCTGTGAATTAGCACCTTTCCCCGGTGTCATTAAGTCTCCAAACAATTCTTTTTAGTGCCTTTTTGTGTTGGATCACAGATGACTGTGTCTACCTTTGATGGACTTTTTCCCTCTTGTATTTTGCTGTCACCAATGACTTGGGTGTGATGGGCTTGTGTTCTGGAAATAGCACTGGCTTCAAGGGTCAGGTGGGCCCCGGGGACAGAGGTCAGAGGCTCCAGAGTGTCCAGGAGAGCAGGGCGGTCCCACAGGCAGCACGTAGCAAGGCGGTGGTCACCATGTGAGGAAGGGAAGGCCTGGCACTGACCATGGGTGACAGCCTGCACTCAAGCCATTCCTGTGACCCTTGTCCCTTCCTCCCATCTGCCTGGAGGACCCCACTGTCATCTCCAGTTTTATACATGGGGAGACTGAGGACACAAAACAGGGGACCAGGCCTGGAGCAGCCATGGCACCAGGACAGGGTGTGGGGGGCCCCAACCCGAGGCGCCTCCCTGGTGCGTTCTCCATGGCTCCTGGGTGACAGCAGGTGCCCCAGTCTGTCCGGAGTCGACACGGAGCAGGTGTGCAGTGGTTGGACTGAGTCACAGGCTCGAAGGGCCCTTCATGGTTAGGGTCCCGGCCCAGAACAGGCAGGTGCGGTGCACAGCGCCCTTGCAGGCTGGGCTGGGCGCAGCCGAGCTGGGCTGGACGGCACTTGGCACTGTGTGCCCGTGACAGTAGTATCGTCTTCGGGGCAGCTGCTCCTGTAGCCCCTCTGCCCTCATGGCATCCAAACTAGGGTCTGTTCCTAGGAACTGGGGTGATCTGGCTAAGATGCACATTTATTCTTTATCAAAGTCTCTTACTGCTGTTGAAATTCAGAGTCTAATCTAGTTGGCTCTAACCCTGGCCATTCACACGTGCACGTCCCCGTGGGTCAAGCTCCCGGGGTCATGTTTCTGGTGCCGTGGGACCCGGCATGTCCTGTCGTCTCTGATGCAGCTTGGCCTCTTTGCAGATCCTGCCAGGAGTGAAGGTCGTCATCGCGCACGCCGAGACCAGAGGGCCCCTGGGGGACGCACATCTTGGGGAGGTGAGGCTGAGCGGGGCTCAGGGCCTCACTCCCCTGTCCCTGTGGCCACTCCTGTGCTCACTGGCAGTACTTGACCTGAGGGGCTGGGCCATGGGGTCCTGGACAGGAACAGAGAGCAGGCTCAGCAGCTGGCTTTCCATGCCTGTCATTGTAACTGAGTTCACAACAGAAGAGACCCTGCAGACGCCCCTGCCATTGTGCGGTGTTCCCTTGAGCTCTCTGGGTGAGTAGCTGTCCCATGCCAGAATCTGCTCAGCTCCTTCTCGTTCTCTTGAAACCCGCAGATCTGGGTGAGCAGCCCCCACAATGCCACCGGCTACTACACGGTCCACGGGGAAGAGGCGCTTCATGCCGACCACTTCAGTGCCCGGCTGAGCTTTGGAGACACCCAGACCATTTGGGCAAGGACTGGATACCTGGGCTTCCTTCGGAGAACAGAGCTCACCGACGCCAGTGGAGGTGAGGGGTCCCCGTGGTGCCCGTGCCACCCCCTGAGGTCTTCTGCCGTAGTCATGAGCCGCCAGGCACGCGCAGCGTCCTGTGGTTCCTGGCGAGGCCCACGGCCTATGCCTGAGCTCATGACCAGGCGCACCGTGGAGGGTGTGCCAGCAGCACTTTTCTCTGGAGATTAGTTTCCCCCTGTGGCTGTCCCTCGCTGTCCTTGGACCCTTGGTCCCTGCTGAGAATGTGCAGGTGCTGGCGATAAGGCCGTCACGTCCCCCCAGGCAGAGCCCCAGGCATGGTTCACCAGCTATGTGCAGCACCCGCCCCACACGATCCCTCAAAGTCACCAAGTGCCCTGGGCTGCAGGAGGCCAGTCAGATGAAGCCGGAACTGTCGGTAGCCCCGTAGCTGTTTTGTTTCCAGAAAGAGTAAATGTTTTTAAATATATATTCACACATTGACGTCACTTTTCTGAATTGAGGGGCGGGGTGGCACCTCTGTCAGGGTCCACTGCACATCCCACCTGGCAGGAGGCTCAGCTTCACATGATGTTGGCATAGCCCGCTCCCTGTCCTAGACAGCCCGGCTGGGGCTGCCACAGCGTGGGAAGTGCCAGACGGCGCTGAGTCTCCTGACTTGTGCATTGTGCCGCTGACAGAGCGCCACGATGCACTGTATGTGGTCGGCTCTCTGGATGAAACGCTGGAGCTCAGAGGCATGCGCTACCACCCCATCGACATCGAGACGTCCGTGATCCGAGCACACAGGAGCATCGCCGAGTGGTAAGCCAGACGCAGCCCCCACCCCCTGGGTACAGGCACCTGCCAGGTGCCTGCCTCTCCAGGAGCCAACCCGGCCTCAGGTCCACCCTGCGACACTCCGGGAACACTGCTCTGAGCCTTGCCAGCTGTGTCCTCTTCCTGACCAGTGTTAAACCAAGTCTGTCCCCGAATGCACAGGCCAAGCTCTGTGAGTGTGAGCTCTCTGCAGTTGTTCTGATGTGTTTCTGCTTTTAATGTGAATTTTCTTGGTTAAATGGTATGACTCGTGATTTCTTCATCTTGTACGGAGCTAGCACTGGGACAGGTACAGTGTTCAACATCAAATAGTGCTCTCGATTCTTAGTGAGAACCGTAGCTAGAACAGGTCCTCCTGTAGACTCAGCCTGACTTGGGGATGGCCAGGCAGTGGTGCAGGGTCGGTTCATGACCTTCACCTTCCCCTCTCCTGTGTGGCACCGTTGCCCGTGGGTGTGTCGGTGTCTGCGCCCCTGATGCAATCTGTCCTCTCTCTGCAGTGCCGTCTTCACCTGGACCAACCTGCTGGTGGTGGTGGTGGAGCTGGACGGGCTGGAGCAGGATGCCCTAGACCTGGTGGCCCTGGTCACCAACGTGGTGTTGGAGGAGCACCACCTGGTTGTGGGCGTGGTGGTCATTGTGGACCCCGGCGTGATCCCCATTAACTCCCGTGGCGAGAAGCAGCGCATGCACCTGCGGGACGGCTTCCTGGCCGACCAGCTGGACCCCATCTATGTCGCCTACAACATGTGATGAGCGCGGCCCAGGCCTGCAGGCCTGGGGACCACTTGACGTTGCTGGGACACGTGAGGACATGGCAAGCACCCTTCCCCCACTTTTACAGATTTGTCTCAGAGTTCCCCAAATCTCATCTGAGGAGCCACTTCTGAATTATTGGAAGAAACTTTAATCCTGAAGGACATGTACACAAACCTAAATGTCGGCATTTTAACAGACAGGTGACTGGGAAGGAAAGTGAGAGGCCCGGCCTGGGCATCGTGGAGCTGAGGTGTGCGGTCTGTTCTCTGCTGTATTGCAAGTTTGCACTTTTTTAGGCTAGAAATAGAGTTCTCGATTCTTGTGAGTTCAGTTTATATTCCCAGTTCCAGTGCGCAGCCTATGCATAGAGTTCACGCTGGAAGGAACTGGAGCCCAGCACAGCCGGTCCCCCCGCCCTTCACAGGGAGGAGCTGAGCCCAGGCAGGTCCCACCCACCCCGCTCTTGGGCCCAGACCAGGCACGGGGTGGGCCCCCCCGGGTGGGCCCCCCCACGTTCCTCGCTGCCAGTGTCTCTGGTGAAGCAGGTGTGCCCAATGGCCTGCTCGCACTGCCACTGCCACTCAGCACGCACCACTCAGGGCAGTCCAGGTGATGCTGTTTCGGAAAGGTAAGCCGGCGGTTAGCTCTAAACCTCTTCAGGTTAGTGACTTCTTGCTGTTAAACGCTTGGTTCCATAACATCACAGTACTAATTCTCCTCAGTACTTGAAAGTGTGCTGAATCACTATTTTTCCTCCGACTCAGCATATTTGGAAGTGGAGCGCCAGGCAGTGCCGTCCAGGACCCGGCGCGTCCATCCTCACCCTGGCCTTCACGATTGAGCTGTGTGCCTATAACATGTGGCCAAACCATAGTCAGTTATTTTATTCAAACTTGACTAAACTGAGTGATGTAATATTATAGTAAACCTCAATGAAAGAAGAGAATATAAAATGCTTTTGAAACTTCTAAGAATTTGAAAGGAAGCGCATATCTAAAAGAGTATTTTTATATAGCTGAGAAAGTATGTCATGAAGTTGTTGGGTTTTGGGGGGACTTGAGGGTGGGAAAGTTTATGAATTGTGCATGCTTCTTAGAAACAACCAGGTTTTCCTGGAATTAGCCTGGATCAGTGCCTAACAAAGCTGTTACTCATTCTCTGCCGTTTTCAATTCACTGCTATGTAGGCCTGGCCGCCTCTCACGTCTCACTCTTACTTGGCCACAAACAGCAGGTGTGTCCAAGCTCGGTTTGCCTGCTGGGCTGCGTTCCACAGGCTGGACTTGAGCCGTCTGTGGTCATTATGTACATAGTCTGTGTGACTTATTGTGTGACACACACAGGGCGTAGCAGCCGGCGAGTGGATGTCCCGGCAGGGGACCAACTACCTAACCCTAATCTTCATGTTGTAGTTTTATAGCAAACAAATATTGTCCTTTTTTTGTATTGACAGGTCGGTGGCAGTAAGACAAGGTGTCTTGTACATTAAGACTTTAAGAAGCACATTAAAATGTTTTAAATTACTTTCTGGGAATCCTGTATATCACACTAATTTTTTATATTATTATGTTAATAAAAGTTATTGACTGTTTGTAATTCTGCATTTTTAAATGTGTGAAAAAGGTTTCTTAAATTACCCCAAAGAAGATGAATTTTATTATGCACTCAGTTTGACTATAAAAGTGTTTATGCTTACAGCATAAACTCTATAAAGCACATTAAAGTATAAAGAAGAAAATTTATAATGCAACTTCTGGGTCAAACAGCAGCACTAGGATTTGATATAAACCCTTTCAGGGATTTAGGTTTTTCCTTTAAAATTTTTTTACAAAATCAGGATCATGTGCTTTTATAATCCACTTTTGTACTTAGTAAATTACAGACTTTTTTATCTATTACATACACTCCCCCCGTTTTACGGCCACAGCACACAGTGTGCCCACAGTTGCTGTCCTGTCCATCTGGGTGATTTGAACCGCTGCAGCGGCCCCGCAGCTTTTCTTCTGTGAGGATGGTGACGGGCTCGGTTGCAGCACCTGCAGGTAGAGTGAGTGCCTCAGAGTTCATGCGGGGTGCAGGATTGGGCCACCCACTGCCCACCGGAAGGGCAGTGTGGGGAGGCCTCTTGCTCAAGATTAAAACATGTCCTTGTGATTTGGTAGTCAAATAAGTGTCATGTCTAGTCACGTTGAATGTGTTGATGGTTATTTTTATCCTTTATTTGACAGTCTGTTCAGATTTGGCAGTTCTTGAGCCGAAGGGTGTTTTTTCATTGGTTTGTAGGAGCATTTTACATTAGCCATAACCTTCATATAGTCCATGCTTTTTCTCATGGGTCATTGGTGTCTTGACTCTGTGCTGATTCAGCTTGCAGTCCAGGTGTGTGGTGGGCTGCACCGTGCAGTGGTCAGTGCCTCTGTGATGCTCACACAGTGACCGAATCACCTAAGGGCAGCTCTTGTAACTACCCGTCCCCAAGAGGCGCTCAGCTGTATCCCTTCAGTGAACTTGAATTTGCTCAAATTAAGGCGCCCACAGAGCACAGTTGGAAACCATAGAGAAATCAGCCGGGTGTGTCGGGGGAGGCCGGGGCGCCCGCCGCAGCCACTGCCACCCGCGTGAGCGGACGTCCCGGCGCTGCGCCTCCCGGAGGAGCCCCAGAGCTTAAGGGGCGGGGGCCGACTTCACTGTCGCCAAGCAGATAGCCTGCGGGGCTCGCCCTTCTCCTGCGGCGTTGGCGCGGCCGCCGCCTGCTGGGGTTTCCCCGGGGCGGGAGGCCGCGGGCTCGCCCAGTCCAGCCACGTGGACAGCACCCCCGAGGTGCTTCTGAAGCGGCAGCCGCCACCCAGCGTCCTCCTCCACCGGGTCTGCGGCCGGGACCGAGGGACCCGCGGGGGCCACTGACCGCGTGGGAACAAAACCGCGGAGCGTACCCGACCCCCGAGACGCCTGCGCTGAGTCTGCGCAGCCGCAGCCCAGGGGCGGAGCCTAGCCGATGGTGGGCGGGGCCAGGAGCCATCCCTGCCCCGCCCTTTCTGTATCAGATCCAATCCAGCCGGGCGGGGCGGGCACGTGACTGTTCAAGCCAATCGCAGCTCCCCTACGCGCCCCGCCCCATCCAAGTGTCCCCACATGGACACCCGCTCTGCTTTGGGGGGTGCAGTGTCTGCATCCCAGAGGAAGCCAAGGAATGGGTTTTACTCCTCTTTGCAGGTATTTCGCTTTTATTTCCTGTTTAACGGCTACGGAGACGTGTCACAGTGCACTTTTATTTAATGCAAAAACAAGCGATCAATTATTCTATCAGTTTCCAACCTGTATCCTTAAGTAAAACAAAACAGGAAGAGGGTGGATAGGATTAATTTGAATTTTCCTGGAAGTGATTTTTAATATTTGTAACTTGATGACTCGAAACGTGATCTATTTGAATTTGTGCATACAAAGCTTTCTTCCTACACTGCCCACCAGCAGCGATGAGCAGACCCCGCCTGGCACAGACAAGTCAGGAATGACATTCGCCAGCCGACCAGACACATCACTTCAGACAGGAGACGAAATTACATGCAGTGTGCGAATCGCAGCGGTGGAGAGGACACCGGTCCCGAGCCCGGCCTCGCTCCTGCCGCCCTCGCATCCCACAGACACAGCCAAGTGAGCCCTTCAGGAAAATTCCACTGAATACAGAATTTTGATTCTCACTTCTGATTACCGTGAAAATTCCAGTACTTGTTGGTTTATGAGACACATTTTTTCATTTAAAACTGTTAGCATTAAATACCAGGGGTTCCAAAAAAATGTATACACATGACTTGTATTCATCTTTTATCGGTATATATCGAGTATTACAATTTTAATAGTTTTTTTTTCTTTCTTATAATGTATATACATTTTTTGGCATTCTCTGTATTTACTCAGTAATCACAGCTCACCATAGGAAAAGGGATCTAAATGTGACCATGCTCTGTGGGCGAGTGGGACAGCATTGTCAGATCCTCTGACTACTTCGGGTGTCATTTACACTGATGATGAACAAATTTAAGGAAGGGCATCCTTTCCAAAGGATGGTGAGCAGAACTTTGCGATTTTAAGTGTAGTGGAGACTTAAGGAGACCACAAATGTCCACTCTGTTTTGGTAGTCAGCTTTGTGTTTTTTAGGTTAGGATTCTACAGCCATGGCAGCCAGGATAGCATGCGCTTTGTGACAGCACTGACTCTCCTAAGTGATTATTACCAAAGGCCGCTGGGGCCAGTCAGCTAGCAAGGTGCCTAATACAGCAGAGTGTGATGGAGCCATTGCAAACAGCCCCAGCAGAGAGGGTTCAATTTTTCATTCACAAAGCAAATCAAGCTCCCTAATTCACTACAACACGGCGGAAGCTCAGCTCCTAGTAGCCTGCACGCCGCTGCTCCCTGCTTCCTCCTGGGATCTTTGTCTCCGCTGCAGGAACAGCATGGTTGTTTTCTCTAGTTCACTCGTGTTCAAAGAACTCGTGGCAGGCAGTGGTAACCATGGCAACGAAGGCCATAAATTCCTGGAAGTCACACTCGCCGTCTCCATCGTTGTCCAGTGTTTCCATGACTTTGTCCACAACCTCCTGCTCTTTGATTTCCTAAGAGAGACAAGAGAAGTTGGCCAGCTTGCTTGAAAATGAAATTTTGGGCCATTAAAACATAATTAAAAGTTGGCTGGTTTTAAAAATCTTTACAGAAACAACCTGAGATACAAAATGCAAAATAGCAGCAAGGTTTGTCTTATGACAGGGGACTTGGCGGGGGACTGTGCCTTCTCCACCGTACTTTAGACTCAGTGGAACCCGTGCTGCTTGTACAGGGAAGGGAACAGCCTGCTGAGCTCTCACTGTACTTACAACAGAACAACACCTGGAAAACAGCACCTCCACCAGCCTGAGCAGATTTATGCAACTGTCTTGGAAAAACGAGTGAGCTTTTGCCCCCAGACTGCCACTGTTCGTTTGTGGAAGCCCCTGCCGTGGAAGCTTCCGTGGACTTTTATGTTTTGAAAGCGTGTTTTCACTGAAGTAACTCTTGGGAACATGCCCTAAATGTGTTAACTTCCTGTGTTCTTTTTGCCATTGAGTTCGTTTCCAGGTATCACAGGACTGGCCTGGTGGTTTTCCTGCCCAACACAGACACCAAGTGAACAGTGTCACCAAGTCTCTGAGAAAACGGGGCTGGGCCACAAGCAAGGCAGGAAGGACGTGGCCCTGGGACCTGACAAGTAGCATCATTACGGCGTGTTCAGCACCAGCAACCAGTCACAGAGTTCGGCCTGACACGTCAGGTAAGATGCACCAGCTGCCGGAGGCAGAAAACGGGAAAGGCCAAGGGTGCAGTGGGCTCGGGCGGGGCCTGTAAACGTGGGGATGGCAGCAGTGTTACTGCAGTTACACGATCGTTGCCTCCAGTCCGAAATCACCGCCGTAAAACCCGGCAACAGATGCTCCCAACGCCTGACACACCACGAGCAACTCATCTTTCAGAAAGTGTGGCCCCCCACATGTGGAGATTTTGCTGTGTCTTACAATCGGTAATAATAGCAGTTACTGGTTCCTGAGCTCCCACTGTGTGGGGAGCACTTGCCAGACACTGTCTCATCTCATCCTGACAACCACCCTTTCTACAGAAGAAAGTGGGTCTCTCCGCTGGTTAAGTTAGAGTTGGAATTGGTGGCACTGGATGGATGGCTGACAGTGTGAGTGGGGCAGCTGAATGCCGGCTACACCCATCCTGGACTCCATCTTGGGGATGCCTGCCCCACCCGCATCATGCCTGCAGGCCACCTGCTCTGCTCTGGAGGCGCTGTGCACAGTGATGCAATGTTTGGGGTGGGACTGGAGAACCCCACCAGCCTGCAGAGGTTGGAGTGCCCTGCTGCTGGCAGCTGGGGCTGTCCTGCACTGAGAGGCTCAGCTGGCTGTGAGGGCGGGTCCCTGTCACCGTGCAGCGGGGCCCTGCCCTGATGCTCTGGAATCTTCCCCGAATCAGCTCCTGGTCATACATGTGTGCACTGGTTCGTTGGCTGGCCATTTCCCTTGTGTGTGATTGGTCACTTCAGTGACCTGGGCACTAAGGGAGGGTCTGTCACCAGGGGGATTGCCTCAAGGGCACAAGACAGGTGTGTGGTAGAGACAAGGGGTGGCCAATTCGTGTGCAGGAGCTGGTGGGTGAGAAGTGAGTCCTTGATGAGAGTGGGACCTGCCTGCGGTGTAGGCTCCTCAGGGGCCCCCATGCAGCTTCCTGAGATAGGGTCTGAGCCCGAAGATGGTTCCTCTCCAATGTCCCTTATTCCGGGGAGCCCACAATGGGCGTGGGGCCCTCTCTTATGCCCTCACCGAAGTAGGTGGTGGCCCTTCATTGATGTGCCAGGCTGGCTGCCTCAGAAGCAGAGGCCACGTCTTCGGGCCTGCGTGTCCAAGGAGTGAACATGCCACGTGCTCAATGAATGTTTGCTGAGTAAATGGTGTCTTGTATCACCGCAGCCAATGCTAAACTTGTACTAAAGCCGCAGTAGCCCTCTTCCCCCAAACAGAAGCTCATCTGGAACACCTTTCTTAGATGCTCACCATGGCCATGAGGAGTCAGTGCACTTCCCACCCCCTGCCCTCACTCCCACTCTGAAGCCTCAGGCCCTTTTCAGAGAGAACTCTGTGCTTTCGCCTTTGAGGCGGGAACTTGTCCTTGATGCCCCCACTGTCCACAAAACGGAAATGACGACAGCGTGGCCCAGCGAAGCTGTCCTCACAATGAGGACTGTCATGCAGAGACATTTTCAGAAGACACCTCGGTGTCCTGAAGCAGAACGAGTCACCTTCAGGCCCACTCGAAAGAAAGCGTGCAGGTGTATGAGTGGAGAGGACAGCGCATAAACTGTCGCCTGAAAAGCAAGACTGACCTCTAAGAAGTGGGAAAGCTCATTGTTGATGAGCTCCTTGAGTTCGGATTTCTTCAGCTTGTGCTTGTCGCCCTCCTTTCCGGAATACCGATGGAAAACGTCAATGAGGGCCACCACGGCCTTCTCCAGCTCCGACATCCTAGGGGTCCACAGAGGAAAGGCGCCTTTACATAGAAGAGTTACCGTGTCATCTCCACAGACCTTGACCCACAGGAGGGGCTGGGCAGCCATGGCTCATCTCCCCTCCCAGGCTCAGCGGGGCGTTCTGGGAACACGTGGGGTTGTCGCAGTTCCCCCAGTGCCCCTGTCCCTCAGCCACATTGATAGGTTCCCAGGCCCTCTCTCTTCTAGTTGGATTTGGCCAGTGGGAAACCTCAGCAAACACAACAAGGCAGTGAGTGAGCTCTGGGATTGACCCCTGCCTCCCCGCTGGGGCCACCCCCTGCCCCCACAGGGCTCCGAGACAAGGGACAATGCAGGGGAGCAGAGTATCACTGCCAGCTGGTGACTGGGAGCCAAACAAGGCTGCAAACATTGACAGAACTCTGTCAATACTCTATCAATAAACAATTAGAACACGGGAGAAAAGTCCTGTTCACAGAGCAGCACACACGTTACTGAAAAATAAGACTAATATGAAAAGTGCAGGTCCTTCCAGAAGATTTTAAGGATCATGAAGTGTAGGAATTTGCTTCCCATTAAATGAATATATAAATTGAGCCCATTTGTAATACAAATCTTTACTGGAAAAATAAACATGGTAGGATTGCCACAGCCTTTTTGAAGATCAGAGTAAGGCACCTTGACCACAGGAGCAGATGTGCTGGCAGGCTGTACTGTGAAGCTGGCCCTGTGGGGACAGCAGACACACAGCCATCACAGGGGTGTTTGTTCACAGCTGCTGGGGGGCTGCCTCGGGTGTGTGGGGACACGCCTCTTAGCCACTAATGAGTGTTTCTCTGCAGTTATCAAGGAAGGAAACTTCCTGGACCCCTCCCAGCATGCACCTTATACAGGCCACAGAAATGTCTGTTCCATCCTGGGGACTGGGCACATTTTACAAAGACAGCTTTTCAATTGTTTCACAAAATTGAGTCACAGCTAGAGAAACTTACCAATTCATGGCCTTGCGTTCCAATAAGTAAAGAGTCTTAGCACTGTCATAGTTAAAATTCAATATAAGAATCACATCTAATTGTTGAAAAATCATTCCCATGTTGAAGATGTCACTTACATCTTAAAAATAAATTGGAGTAAAATATTTAAGATTTTATTTATTTCTGGTTTCCCAAAGGAAAGAGAATTGAGGATTTTTGTCTTGGCCCAATCTTTGCTGAAGTCACCCTGTTAACGATCAGCATACTTTGCTTTGCTCCTGTCTTTAAAAATCAGATATATCCCATGTAGATAGAACATTTCAGATAGGTTACAATCTTTAACATTTCGTACTGTCTTATCCTTTGCAGTCACGTTTTCAATTTTGATTATTTTTAATGAAAAACCAAAAAACTTTTATATCATCCTGGTGCTTCTCAAAGTCTATGATGATCTGTGGGAGAGGAGGTTAATTTTATTATTTTTAAGGATGACTAGTATGATTTTTTTTAAAGGAAAAGTATAAAACCTTATTCCATATATTTGAAAACACCATAAAATGTGATTTTTTTCATAACCATACTACAAATTAATTTAAAATTTTTTCCTGTTACATCCTTCCCTTTGACTAAGAAACAATTGATGGTTTAAAGCTTATATTTAAGAGAGGTGGAAATCAAATATCCGTGTTCTCTTTTCACTTCATTCTCTCATCAGTTTCCTGCACTAATCTTTTTATGTTGAAAACGAGAACTTTTGGGCTTTAACTCCTTAGAAGGTTCCATCACATATGATGTGAGGGTCCCCGCTAAGGAAGGGGCCCTACCTCCCTGAGAAATTATGAGAAGAAAGTTAAACCCACCATAAACCCGGATTTCTCTGAGCCAATTTGTAGTGTAAAGATCTCTCGGTTGTGTAATTTCTGAGTGGTGTCCCGGGGACCCTGAGGGACTGCAACACTGAGCCAGCGGCAGTCACCCGCCCAGGGCCAGGGCGGGAGCACCGTGAGTAAACATGTACCCGTGAGGCAGGGCTAACCTGGCACCAGGTCGCACGTCATTCTCAGCTGGCAATGGGCCCAGCCAGGCTCAGTACCCAACAAGGGAACAGCCCTGCTGTTCCAAAGGGAAGAAGCAGTGTTTGTAGCACTTCTGGGGCGATGTCAGCGGTCCCCCCAGACCTCTTCCACTGTGGGCAGAAGGGCCCCTAGCTGTCAGTTGAGGCGTTCTAAGACCCACACTTGAAATGCTGCAGGTATCCGGAGGGGCTTTTTAAATTCCCACCCGCTCCTCACCCCACCCTCTCGGACCCCTGCCCCAGCGGTTTCTCCACTCACGTCGTGGTCTTGGTGGCTCCTCCTCGTCACCTCCTGGCTGCAGTGTCCTGAGTGGCAGGAGGCTGGGCAGGGGCCGCATTTTATCCCTCCCTGTGGGCGTGGGCCCCCCCCCCAGCAGCCCCACTGCGGGCTGAGGCAGCCAATGGGGGCTAAGGGCGGTGGGGTGGGGGTGGGGGCGTGGATGGCCAGGCCGCACACAGGGCCTATTGACGGGGCACCCGGACCAAGCTGGGCCAAGGAAGAAAACGGCCTGGGGGCAGGAAATGGGGAGTCAGCTTTTTGTGCTATTTTTATTTTATTCATGAATATTGACGCTCTTCTGAAAGCAAGGTTGGGGGCGGGGGAGGAGAGGGACGGATTAGCTGATTCAAACAGCAAATGTTCAGCCAAGAGCAGAGTGCAGGCTGGCCGCCGGTTCCCGTGGAGAGGCCCCTGAGCCCCGCCTATCCCCAGCTGCCCCATGGGCCCCACCCGCCACCAGGCACCCCATGGACATCAGTGCCCAGGGTTGAGCAGGCTGCCTGGAGAAGCCATGGGGCCATGTCTGCAGGACCTGAAACAGGTGGCCCGACAGATGCTTGATGCTTTTAGGGGGATATCCTTTAATATGGAAAGCACGGCCAGACGCAGCCCAAGGCCCCTCCCTCACCCAGGTGAGCGGCTGCAGACTGTCAGAGCTGGACGGTGCCCTGGACGTGTCCTGTCAAAACACTGTCCCTCACTGAGACGAGGCCCCATGGGCAGGCACGTGGAAGTCCAGACTGCCCACACCCATCTTCAGCGGCACCCTGCCTGAGCTGTTTCCTAGACAAAACCCAAAAGGTAGTCATTCCTTTAGACAATTACATGAAATACATCGGCTTCAAGGTCTTCAAAGGACACCTGAGGCAGAATCAGGGTCCTTCTGCGAATGCAGGTTCACAGTGGCCACGGAAGGGCCACAAAGATGTCTGTGGACACTTATTTTGCTGTCATCTGTTTTCCTGGGAAATTGACAGTTGGACACCCAGAAGTGTGCCCTGGAAATAGCATGGGGCAGTGAGCCAGGGGGCCTGAGTTGTCCTCACCTGGTCCCCCAGTCTGGTTCCCACAACCAGTTGACTGTGGAAGGAAAGTGTGAGCCCAGTTTCTGGTGGGGCTGCAGGACATGCTGTCACCCCCCTGAAGTGGACAGATGCATGTCTCGGCCCCACTCTAGGTGACCGTGGACAACTGGTGAAGGGCAGTCCTCTTGGGCAGGGCTTCCAGCAGCACACTGGGCTGTCCGCTGTCCTGGAGTGATGTGGGGCCAGGGTATGTAGTCACGGCGGTCACTAATGATCTGACTGGTCAGCAACTTGGAAGGGGCAGGATGGGGAAACTGATTAGAAGGAAGGCCTGGACAACGCACCAGGACGGACCTCGAAGGAGCACAGTCAGAGCATTTGTGTCCCGAGTGGATGCCCACCAGTGGGCACGCAGAGCAAATGCAGCTCTGGTCACCAGGTGAAAAATGACCGGCCCTGCGGGTGCCAACCAACCCCACTGCCACCGCTGCAGGGCTGACTTAGTGTGTTCATGAGCCAAGTAGCCACATGGCAGGCGTGGACGTGCACCTGTGCCCACAGCGTGGACTTCCCTGCACCAGAGCTGGCCCAGATGCCTGGGGGCCGGCTGGCTGCCTCCGCCTCTTCTGTCATGGAAGGGGTAGAGGCCTGTCCTCACTGGTATGAGCTGGTCGCCCCGGCTGTGCTGCCCTGCCAGCACTGAACAGCCAGTCACCTGAGACCGGCCTGGACACTGCCCTCCATGGCAGTGGCATCTGTGTCCAGAGAACTTGTTATAGCACAGGAAGAGCGGCAGCAGACTGGTGCCATGTCACTGACTGGTTTTGTCATACCCCCTGCACCTCGGAAGCTGCAGGCCCAGCTGAGGGGTGGAGTAGCTTCCCGAACAGTCATCCCAGCAGCACGGGGTTGTGTCACAGGTACAGCGGATACTTACAGCCAGGGCCATCACATGGTGCCATGTCCCCCACAGGCACACGCGTGGGTCTGGGAGGCGAGCGTTGCAAGTCATCGTGCTCCTGCCACCAGCACACGGAATGACCTGGTTGCAGAGTCCCGTGCTTGTCTGGGCAGATCTGAATCTCCAGACGGGCTGCCTGCCCCAGGGGTCATAGCAACGCACCTGCTGACCACTGCCAGAAGCTGAGACTGCCACCTGGCCACCTGGGGCTCCTCATGCCTCTGAACCAGGCAGACAAGGGTTGATCTGGCTCGAGTAATTGACCCCAGTTAAGGGGGTCACTGTGGCACTGTGGAGGTGAGATGGGCCGTAGGCCCGGCATCTCTGCACATGTCCACGGCCAGTGGTAAAGGTTCATGGAAACTACGGCAACCGGACAAATAAAACCCAGCAGGATGCAGGTTTTCCCTAAATGGAGGTTTGGATCACTCTACCCACTAGGGACCCCAGTGCCGAGGACAAAGGGGACACAAAGTGGAGAGCTGCCAAGGGAGCTGTGACGTCAAGCACAGCCTCATGACCAGTGAGTTCCAGCACGGAGCCTGTAGCAGCTTCGCAGGTTTTTTTGCTTCTTATCTCTGTGTGTTTGTTTCTGAACCACCTTCTCCTGGTCTTCCCAGTGCTCACTTTGTAGACGGTTTTTGGAGGGTCGCACTTCAGCGTAGTCCCAGGCAACTGAATCCTCGTGACTGTGCTGAGCAGTGAGCACAGCGACTGCTGGGTCTGGGCCTCGTCTCATCTGGAGAGCTCCGCTCCTCACAAAGACAGCGGTATCTTTTCAGGTAGGAATGCAGCTTGATGTGGCTGCTGCAGGGAGTCCAGATGTGTGTAGGGACACATTGCCGATGGACACTGAGTGGCCACACACTGCCCCAGCCCTGGTAGGCCTGCATGGGCACTCCGGTGGGATGCCTGCAGTGAGCATGGTGGGAGGTCTTGGAGCCCAGGAAGGGGCTCCCTCCTACACTCTGCTGGGTCACCACAGCATCACGGTCCTTCATGGTGTCCCCGGCTGCTCTGCTCCAGCCACTGTCTGCAGAGGGCAGCCCTTGGTGACTGGGCAGCTGGGCCTGGCCCGTGGCCGCCTCGCCTGACGTGGACAGTGCGCCCGTACCGGCTCCCACCCGCTCTGCGTGTCCTGCAGCCTCGCCTGCCCTCCCTGGGGTTGCTCCTCACAACCGTCCTGATGGCCACGGCACAGCCCAGGCCATGCTCACGTGGCACCCCAACCAGGCTCCCAGGGCTGTGTCTACAGCTGCACAGGGCTGGCTCCAGCCCTGTCTGTGAGGTAACCGGTTACCTGTCCTGCTTCACAGGTGCTGACAGAAGACACCAAGCTCCTGGGTCAGGGGTTACTCGCAGGAAAACCTACTAGGTTTACTACTCTTCTGTTAGTCTAAAATGACTTCAAAATAATAATTTTAAAACATTACCATATGGAAAGTCTAGACTTAAAAGAAGGGACACGGTGGAGGAAGCTGTGGCACCAATGCCAGAAATCAGTGGTTATTTTCTGAATACATAAAATCCCCAAATTGATATGCCAGGATCTGGTTTTTTAACAACATAACACTTCCGACATCAAATGTGTGGGTTTCCCCACACACCCCAGTTCTGTGGCACCAGCTGAGTGTCCCACAGCTTAACTCAGTCCTGACACCAGCCCCTGGGGCTCGCGCAGACCCCACGAGGGCGGCTCAGTCCCACAACACTGCCCCTCAGACATCAGCCGCAAGGCCCGGCCACACGTACTTCCAACAGACCGCCTATAAGTTGGGGGTCCCCACACCTCTCTTTGGGTCCCAGGAACTTGCTAGAGTGGCTCCCGGACTCGGGGCACACGTTTCTTAGGGGATTAGGGTCATAAAGGGTCTGACTGAGGAGCAGGTGGGAGGCAAGACGCGGAGGGCGAGGCCTGGGGACGGGCTCGGGGCCCCTGGGGTCCACTGTCCCAGCACCTCCATGCGCTCACCCATTGGACGCTCTCTGAACCTCGTCCTTTGGGGGTTTATGGAGGTCCCACCACCCAGGTGCAATTGAGTGGGTGAAAGTCCAGCCCTCTCATCCCTGGTTGGCTCCCCTTGCGACCAGCCCCCTCCTGAAGCTCTCCAGGGGCCCTCGGTCATTAGCATAATGTCAGGTGTGGCTGGGAGGGGCTCCTCTCACCCCATCACCCGGGGATTACAGGGTTCTGGAGGCTCTGTGCCAGGAACCAGGACGAAGACCCAATAAATATTCCTTATTAGATCACAGCACATGATGTAATAAGACGCTGTAAATATAAATAGCCTCCTTGGAAAAGGAATATGTACTATTGCCCAAATAATAAAGCTTAGGGAGACAGAACCAGCAGGGGATGGTTTCTGGATACTGACCTCTACCTGGCTGTGCATGACCCCTGGGAGAAAGGTATCTGCTGTGACACTGAAACGACTGCTCTGGCTTTGCCATCTCTATAGCCAAGAGCCTTCTGCATGGTGGGTGGTCATGGCACCATTGAGAGTTGCCCAGCATTTGTATCTACAAAACTCGGGGGACAACTGGGAGTGGAGGACAGGGGCCCAAACCCCTGCGTCTAGGCCACAGCCCTCCCCACTGATCTCAGGGCCCAGCCTCGCGGGAAGGGGTTCACTCCCCAGGGAGGAGTGCCTCCTGCACCCAGGCAGCTGGTGGGTCACCAAAGCTCCTGCCATCTCCTGTCACGCAGAAGCCCCTTTTCCCTCCAGCCCACCCTTTAGCGGCTCAGCAAGCCCTTTGCAGCACTTAATTCTGTAGCCAGAACCAAGACTCTCTGAGAACTCAGACTCGCTGAGTCTGTTCTGGGCCAGGAAGAGTCATTCTGGCTTGAGTTCCCAGGAGCAAAGGCCTTGGGCAGCAATGCTGTTCTCACACAAAGGACAGTGCCATCTGCCATCAAGCTGCTCACGAGGTTGGTTACAGGGACCCATGTCCACAGGGAGAAAAAGACGCCTGTGTTCTAAAGGGACGTGGGAGAAGGGACAAAGGCTTCTGTTGTAGCAAATGCCAGTTCAGGCGATGAGAATTAATCGCCTTTCCTGTACTACAGAAGGCTGCAGCCAGCCCGCAGGAGGTTGTGGGCGAGCGCTGGGGCTGGGACCCTGGGGCTGGGTTCAAATCTGCCTCTGCACAGAGACCGAGGAAATGACTGCACCTTTCACAGCCTCCGTAAAAGAGGAACCCCGAGGGTTGTGTGAAATTCTGAACACACACACACCTGTGCAGTGCCTGATGCACTTGGTGGTCATTATTATCATCATCCAAGTTACTATCCTTGTCCAAACACCTGTAGTGCAGGTGAGCCGGTACAGAAGGCAGACAGAGCCAACGGCAGGCAGATTGCTTCCTGAGCACAGAACGAACTCACTGGCTAATGTACAATTGGGCAAATTGTGCAGGAGTATCACGTGTCATTATTTTTACACCACTCCAGATTCCATGAATCCATTTGGTTGTAACAATAGTTCCAGACTGGTGCTCTCTTCCAGAAGGACAGCCCAGCGTGAGCAGAGCTGCCTGGGTTTGCTTTGGACCCATGGCCACAATACAGCCCAGCTCAAAACAGCAGGGCTTGTTTTTGTTTTTCAACTTTTTCTTCTTCTCCATTTTCAGAAGGAGCTGAAGGTTGGAGCACAGTGAGCACACTTTTCCCGCCGGCTTCGTGTGTGAGGCTTCTTGCCCAGGGAAACTGCCTCTCGATGCCATGTGAGAAGAAGTGCTGAACCAACAAAGGGAAACCGCAGTTCCCCCTGTGGTACGACTGCCACAAACATTTATTTGAGTATACCGTTTTACTCTCACTAACCCTTTGGAAATTTGCCATAAAATCACATCAGGTTTAAAGTTAAAAAAAAAATCACTACATTAGACTCACTGGTTGCTTACTCAATGGGAACATTTTTTTATTTACTCTGTATCACACATTTTTATAACTTTGTCTCATTGTGGGCCCAGAACAGCACAGTATTCAACCACATTAAGCCAAATGAACAAAACATAATGAATTGTTTAAATTATTTAATTAATGAGGATTCATACACCTGGAATTAAAAAAAATGCCTCTGTGAGATCGAAACACCTCCAATCAGACTGACCCAGGAAGTGGGGATGAGTTAATTATTTTGAGGCTTAAATAAAGAACATACCAAGCAAACCAGAGACAATGAAAGATAAGGGTGTATAAATATGGAAGCATAATTCCTAGTAGTATATGATTTTATGTTTTCCTTTCTAATAGTTGGGGGTTTTTTTTATTGCCTTACTTGCCTTATTATGCTGGCTAGGATTTCCTGTTGCTGTGTATTGGTTCGTTATGATTTCAAGTCTAATTCTTATGCCTTAAGTGAAGTTATTGGGTTGTAGGAGAAGTCATGATGCATTTTTGCAACGAAAAATATAGAAAAAGGGTCGGCCGAGTGGCATTGCTGGTTAAGAGCTGCCTTGGGACACCAGCTCTGAGCAGCAGGGCCCCGGTTTGGATCCCACATGAGGGCCAGTGACGCTGCGCCCTCTACAGCTAAGACGGTGAACAGCGCAATGATAATACCAACATGGGCCAGTGAAGC